CATTCATTCATTCATTCATTCATTCAACAAGTGTTTACTAATGGTCCCCATAGTGCCATGCACTGTTTTCAAAGCTGGATATGCAGCATATTTACATGCTCACAGGAAGGGCCCAGTAAAAAAAGAAAGATTGAGGATATAAGAAAGAAAAATAGGGCTGTCTGGTTGGCTTAGTAGATCTTGCCACTCTTTATCTCAGAATTGTAAGTTCAAGCCCTATGTTGTGGAGCCTAATTTAAACATTTTTTTTAAATAGAAGAAGAAGAAGAAGAAAGAAAAACAAAAGAGTAAAATGGGGGCGACAGGGGCGGGGAGAGATTTCTGAGGTCAGAAGAGATCCTAGACACAGGCAGAGAATTAGCCTAGAGTCAACAGGAGGGACATCTCTCATCCAAACAATGGAAAGAAGACAAAAAGTATGAGCACAACAGTAAATAAATGTATAAATAGGGAGACTAAAGTGTCCATTTTACAAATGAAGTCAGTGTTCAAAGTTGATAATCTTTCCTACTCTTGGGAAGGACTTACATTGGGCAGGAAAATTACCTGGTATCCCAGACAGTGTGGTAATTCAGTATGCTTCACGTTAGTCTGTTTAACTATTTGTTCAGCAATGCTTGAGTGAGGATGGGCCATACCAGTAGGAGTGGTCTTATGTCCCCTAAAGGATGTTCTGTTCTTCCAGACATGTGGCAACAAGTTCTTTTACAATTACTTGGTTCAAAATTTGCTTTAACTGGCACTATACTTCTATTTATTTCTGTTATAGTTTAACAACCTTTATAGATTAGTATACTTGGCAATTTCTTGGCTAGGCCTCTATTGGTGCTTCTCAACCCTACGTTAGAACTAATGGTGGAGCTTCTAGATGTATACATGCCATTGGCCCACCCTTGGAGATTCTGATTCAGGAGGCCAGGGGTAAGGCCTGAGAGCGTATCTTTTGTTTAATTGAAGTATAGTTGACACACAATGTTACATTAATTTTAGGTGTACAATATAGTGATTCAACAAGTCTAAATGTTACATTATAATCACAAGTAGAGTTACTGTCACCATAAAACGCTATTATAATACCACTGACTGTATTCTCTGTGCTCTACCTTTTATTCTTGTGACTTATTCTATAACTGGAGGCCTATACCTCCCACTCCACCCATTTTGCCCATCTCCCCATGCCCTCTGGCAGCCATCGGCTTCTGCTTTTTATTTGTTCTTTTTGTTTTTTAGATTCCACATATAAGTGAAGCCATGTGGTATCTTTTTAAGTTTCACAGATGGGGTGCCTGGGTGGCTCAGTTGGTTAAGCGCCTGACTCTTGGTTTCGGCTCGGTCCTGATCTCTCGGTTCATGAGTTCTAGCCCCATGTTGGGCTCTGCGCTGAAAGTGCAGAACCTGCTTGGGATTCTCTCTCTCCCTCTCTCTCTGCCCCTTCCCACTTCCCTCTCTCTCTCAAAATAAATAAGTAAACTTTTAAAAAATTATAAATAAAAGCTTCATAAGTGACACTGATGCCCTATCAGGGTTGAGAACTATCCTATAGTCTTATTAGATAGTTTCTGTAATACCTCAGTTCTATCATTGTTTGTGTATATTACAACTCTGGCTGTTTTCTAAAAATGTGTTTCGTTTTGTTTTTGTTTTTTACAGAAGACATAGATGAAAATCTCCTGTTTTGAATTAAGATTTGAAAGAATTTAAATATTCCAGCATCCTTCTCTGTCCTGACCACTCCTGAAAATATATACAGCTGTGATACTTGTAGATTTACACTTAGCAAAACTTTTGCATGTGTGAGATGACAATAAGAGTAATGGCTTGCTAACAGTGTATGCGCTAATCATTTAACATTAACTTTGGAAATAAAACTTTGAAATTAAATAAAGTCAGCATATGCAAAATCCTGTGTGCTGTTCATGAACAGGAGTCTAACTCGTCACTCTCTACATCTGTTTATGAAATACTTCCTAATTATGAAACTTGAAGAAAATACTGCATTCATTTTGTTCATAATATCATGCACACTTCAAGAAAATGGAATAATGCTCTTTTGTCAATAATGTGCATTATTTTCAGTATCTTAATATCCTAATAAAAATCCAAATGCTTACTCAAGTCTATTTCCAGTCACTTATTTAAACACCTATATGTGAAAGACCAAGTCAAGGCTCACACTTCAAACCAAATTATAATTGTGCCTCCTGACCTTGCTACTTAAAAAAAAAAAGAAAAGAAAAGAAAAGGCATAGGTATGGTTGGGAGAGATGTTTCTTATCAGAAACAAATATCCAGTTATTAAATGGTAGATGCTTATTGATGTCCTTTGCCATCATGTAACTTCAAACAGAAAAAAATGAATTCAAGTGCTCTTTACCAAATTCAATTTGAAATGTGGGTGATGATGCACTGCTTGGTACAGCTGGTCCCAGCTCTTGTGCAACTGCCCATGTAATTGGGGGAAAGGGAGGCCCTGCAGGTTTTCTGCACATTTCATACACTCAGAATAAAGGTAATGTAGAGATAACACAGACAGAAAGCTCTGAAGTGCCTTAATGTTCAGTGTAGTCAGAGATACATATTACTACTGCAATTTGAAAGCAAGAAATTGTGTTGTAAGAGAAACTTTGTGTTTTCATTTGAACTTTTCTTTGGTAACTATTAGTACAGTAAGGGCTAGATTACAAAAAATAATAAAAGACACCAGAATAGAGTTTTTCCTAAGGTTGAAACAAGGCAATGAAAGAAACTGTCAACTTCTGTATTCTACTTACAATATCTATAAGGAAGTAAAATGTTTTTAACATATTCTCCTATCTGAAATGAAAGATATCAAGCAATTGTCTTTTATTATTTTTTAAAATAATCAAAAATTTGTTGTTGTTTTTGTTGTTGTTAAGAGCCTTGTCCGTGATAGTAAATGAGACAAGGTACCTCAAGGAATTCATCTATAGGAACTTATGGAAGAGTTTGCTTTTGATCAGAATTTTTTTCTCTGATTATCTTCAAATTTTTATTTATGTCTTTTCTTAGCTCTGAGTCACTTGTTCTTAACCAGACCACATCACACCATGTTATTTCAAAATAATTACGTTCAGTTTGATTTATAATTTTTCCAACTAGGGAAATAATTTTAGAACTTATTCCAAAATTCAAAATGTTCTTATGCAAAAAAATGTCATGAGAGATCTTAATGAATTACAATTGTAAATTTGTGAATGTTAGAAATGGTGAAATTATATTTGGAGGCAATTAGGCCTAAATTATCATTTCTAAGCATTTTAGAAAATGAAAAGTGATTTTCTTTTTTTTAATACTTATTTTTGAGAGAGACTGAGCAAGTAGAGGAAGAATAGAGAGAGAGAGACAGAGAATCCAAAGCAGGCTCCAGTGCAGAGCCCAACGGCAAGGCTCAAACTCACAAACTGTGAGATCATGACCTGAACTAAAGTTAGACATTTAACTGACTAAGCCACCCAGGTACCCCAAAGTGATTGTAATTCTAAAGACACTACCTGTTTATTTAAAATGTTTTCTTTGAAAGAATTTTGAAAACATTTTGAAATAAATAGTATTTAATAATAGAAGGTTCTAGAACATTTTTCTGTCCATTATGTCTCCCTCATGTATAGCTGCCCTAGATGATATATTGTAGAAACACTGTAATAATCTTGGTGGCCACAATTTTTAATTGTGGGTTGTTTGTGATAAAGACATTACGTTAATCCCAACTGAGGAGATGAAGTTACTTTCTCAGTAATCAGTCTTAAGCTTCTCTGTGTGTAAGTGAGGTACTTTAGGTATTGGAGTTCCTAGTCTGAAACCAGTTATTCAGTGTAGCTTTAAATCTTGTGACTCATATTGCCCATAATCATAAAGGCATTAGTAATATGGCTTAAATACCAGATGGGCATACAGATTCTAGAAGATCACACTGTTCCTTGAATTCATTGCTCCGAGGGCCATTTGAAGCAAAGGTAATTACAAAGACATACAATATAATCTGGACTGATTCTATTGCACTAAGGAAAAGAATGTTAAGATATTCTTGTGTTAGGTAATTTAATGATTTCTAGTAGGCCCACCTATCAAAAAAATTCAAGGGTTTGGATCCAAAAGGCAGAAAAACATAAAAGAGACACCTGAAAAAGAAGGAAAAGGGAGAGAAGTTGCCTAAATTCAGGCAAAGTAAAATAGCATCAAGATAAGTCATAGTTGAGTTTAAAATCCATCTAAATTCATTGAAGAGTGACTTTTATAAAGAGGCATACCTTGTTTCTGATGCTGGGTATGAGTCTTAATGAGAATATGATGAGTTTGATTTTTCTTTCAAAATTTAATTCTAGAGTACAGTGGTTGGGTTTGAAATTCATACGGTAAGTTAATTTGAATTAAATGTGATTTAAGACCATAAATATGTTTGCTTTCAGAATCTACTGGCCAAGAAAGGCCATACTGACTCGTTTTATTGAATTCACTCATATTGTGCTATTCTCTACCAACCCATTATGACTTACAAGATTCTTCTCTATCATCTTCTTGAGAAATTATAATTGTCAGTAACAGCATCCAGACTATGTAAAGGTCTAGTAAGTCTCATGGGGGTAGAAGCTTAAGGTGGATTTATGTGTATATTATATAAGAAATCTCTTTGAGCCAGTGGTGATATGTCTTCAATACTAAGGAAGATACAACAGTGGTGTTGGAGATTGGTGGGTAGAGATTACAAATTCAAATAACTTCAGGGGCCAAACAAGTATGTTGAACTATAAGATTATAAGGAAGAGTATGAAGTGTGTGCAATATTATGAGTCAGAGAATGCATGTCTTGTCTAAAGGCATTCGAAGTTTTTTAAAGCATGTTGTAGGCTTACAAAACCTGAATCGAGGCATAATTTAGCCTGACCACGACTGCAATACCTCTAACTAAACAGCCTATTTACAACAGGAATAGGACTTAGAAAAAACCAAAAATGATCTTCTAACCCTTTAATTCCAGACTCTTCCTTCAGAATGAAAGTTCTCCTCTTGGCTGGCCTTTTGAGCATTGCCACTGCTCTGCCCATCCCTGTGAGTACATCTCCTCCATATTCCACTCCATTTCCATTCCAGAGATAGTATTTCTGGGCTAGGAAGCATTTCCTGTATCTTTTCCTTTCACAGAAGAGAAAGCTAGAGTCCAAGGAAGTTACAGAATCAGGAATTTATCACCGTGCCTCAGCCCACTGGTCCTCCCAGTACAAATCTCAGTTCCACATACCATCTGGAAACCATGTGACCTTGAGCAAGGAACTAACCCATGGCTTCCCGGTCTGTAAAATGAGTCATAAGAAATACCTCAGAGTAGTGCAAAGATGATAGAAATGGTTCCAGAGCACTTGAGTCCTAACTGGAAAATAGAAAGTTCTCAAATAAACTTAGCAAGCTAGAACTCAAACTCCACAGTGACCTAGGTCTTAGTTATACAGTTTGAATTGAGCTTCGTTTATAACGCCTTTACCCCAAACCATCTCATGATGACTGTAGCCATGCCTTCCACATCTATACAAATGAGATCTCTGAGTGTGATCTGTGTCAGTTACAGTCTGAATATGGAGGACACCAAGTAGACAAATCTTCTTTCCTGCACATTTTGTAACAAAGGAGGGAGATTTTCAAAGTGAGGGAGCTTTTTCAAACTTTGGGGATATAAAATTTAAATTTACATTTCTATATGCTCTTCACTTCGACCTTCTAAATGCTGAGAATGAAATTGAGGTCATTGTTGATTCAAAGATAAAGAGGCATGCAACATGTAATTACTCTTACAAAATGTAAATAAAAACATTATTTGGAAGTTAAAGGCCAAAAGTACACCTTCTAAATCACTGGGCAAAATTAATTCAACCTTTCTACATTGGATACTCAACTGCTTTTCATTTCAGAAGTCAAGGTACACCACTGACCAGTGTAATGCTCAACAGTGGCTTGTGACCTATTCTCAGCAAATCTGAATAATGTCTTGCTATATGTTGCTTTACCTTGTTGCTGTTGTTGTTTTACAAGCTTGAACAATTTGGAGGAAGTTCCAGTGGACAGGTAAACTTCTAGTTGTTTTTTCAAATCACATGTTCATCATTCTGAAAGTGTACAGTTGTCTGGAATGACTGACATCATGTCTCTTTTTTTCAGAGATTTGGCTTTTACCCACCACAAGGACCACCATTTTTTCCTCAGATCCTGTTTCCCCCACCTCCGCAACTACCCTTGGTAAACATGGGTTTGGGGAACCTCAAATTGAAAAAAAAATTATTATTAGATGATGTTATTAATTTTCAAATATGAGGCTTTACATGTTGCCAGGCATGAGCTATTCACACCCCTTCCCCCCAGAGCCTGTGGTAGTGTGTGACAAGGAACTCGCAAATTTCTCCCAAAATTTTTGATGACTTCTTCCAATGTCTCTTGGTACTTGCCATCAAAAAGGTGGTTATACTGAATTCCTATGACTGTGATGAGCATAGTTGCTCTTCATGAAGGAAATACTAACCTCTTTCTATAATATCCGTTCTTTTTCTAAATCATCTTGCTGCTTACTTAAAGGTTTTTTCCAACTCTCTTCCTCTCACAGGCCAAACAATATAATTATTTTGTTCTTTCTGTTGGATCCGCTCCAATCTTTCCTAATATCTAGATTCTTGGACATCTTTTAATAAAGGCCAGGACAGTGCTAAATATACAAATAGAACTTCCTTCACTCTATATGTAATACTTACATTGGTACAGACAGCATTCATTCAGCTAATAATTACTGAGTGTCTATTGCATCATAGGGTCTATAGTGAGTTATAAGTTCAATCTGATGATAAAAAGATTCATAAATCTAAAAATGCGTTTTGATAAGTACGTCTAGGTGCAAATACAAAGTTGACTTAGGCTGTGGGTCGAAGACTTCATTCACAGAGGAGACATTATCTGAGCCAGATCATGAGGAATGGGGATGGGGGTGCACTGCAGGCAGAGGGACAGCAACTGCATGCAATGGACCTGAGGACACGGCAGTCTGGGAGGAGAATGATCAGTACAATGAGGTTGCAACACAGATTGGAGACATGTTAAATTTGGACAGTATTTAAGCAATGATGCTTTGAAACTTCACACACATTTTAAAATAGCATCTGGCTTAACTCCCTGTCGACCACTTACTTTTAAAATAAAATGATTTTGCATAGTGTTATATCTAAATGTATAAGCACCTTCCTTTTGCTTGTATTGCATTTCAAACGGTTTATTCCTCAACTTTAAGTAGGCTTTTGGAAATTTGTCACTGAAGTTGAGGTCCTCAGTGGAAGTCTTTCCCTTCAATGTTTTCACATATCCTACTCGAATACTAGCCACTAAATTTGAGTACTTGCATCTATCATTAATTGCTAATCATTTTGGTTCTAGTCAAGGCTGGGAGCATTGTTTCTCTTTTGTGCTGCTGCTGCTGCTGTTGTTGTTTTAGCTGAAATCCAGTAAGATTTTTTTTTTATTAATGAAAAATCCTGAAGTTTTAGTTTAGAATTAGAATGTAGGAGTCTCTGTTAACATCTTATGTAAATCTGTTGTGGCAACAAAGAATCCCTAGTATTTGAAATGGAAACTCTTCCTTCCACCAGATGGCAGAGTGGTATTAAAAAACAAAGATTAAACTACAGCAAACTGGTAGATTTGCAAGAATTATCAAACACATCAAATAGATGCCTTTTGACTTTAGATTTGACTAATGAGTCAAAATAAGCATACCTCTTGAGAGAAAGAAAATGATTTAAAATCCATTAGACTTGACAATAAACTATTTAAGAAAAAATAAATAAAAATAAATCCCTTAGAATCTAAGCTCCACCAAGTAGAAGTTGGGCTTGTTGAGAGCACAGAATTGCTCAATAAATACTGGATGGATGGATGGATGGAAGAGTAAGTTAAATTAATGAGGAAAAAAGCAAAAACAAAATTGTTTTATTCACAATTCACTTGTTTTCCCTCCTTTTTTGTAGATTCCAATTCCTTTCTTTCCCTTTTCCTTATGATCCAAATCAGGTAATTACAAAGTTTCCTTTAAGTATAAAATAGTGAATGATTTATAAAGCCCCTTTCACCTCTAAATGCTTACATCTGCCAGTAATGAGAGAAAACTACATTCTTCTGAAATGGAATCTGTCCTAGAATCCTTTGAACTAGATTTAAGGTTATGGTCATATTACAAAAGGATTTCAATTTCATTTTTGACAGGATTTTGCTGAATGGAGGGACAATTACGAGATTGACTCAGTCAGAAACCAAAATATATGTTGTATATATTATGCCATATTAGAAATTTTAAAATGATAATCCTTACAATGATAGGGCATGACATTATTAAAGTTTACTTTCATAGGGGCGCCTGGGTGGCTCAGTCGGTTAAGCCTCTGACTTCGGCTCAGGTCATGATCTCACGGTTCGTGGGTTCGAGCCCTGTGTCGGGCTCTGTGCTGACAGCTAGCTCAGAGCCTGGAACCTGTTTCGGATTCTGTATCTTCCTCTCTCTCTTGACCCTCCCCTGCTCACGCTGTCTCTCTCTCTCTCACATTTAAAAAATTTTTTTTAAATAAAGTTTTCTTTCATAAAGAAGTGATCCTAAAATATAGTCTTTGCTCCAACCTAGTAAGCCTAAGTTTAATGTTCCTTCTGAGAAATCCCTGCTACGTTTGGAGACCACACAAAAAAAATGTGGACTATATCCTTCCAGAGATATTATTTTGAAGGGAGGGTGGATACTTAAAAATATTAGTGAATATGAATCTTTACGCCATAATTTTAGAAATCTAAGAATTCTAAAAAGCATGTTTTCATTAATCAAGGTAATATAAAATGTATAACATAGAAAACATAGACAAAATGCTGAACTACAACTCCTTGATTATTTAATTGTATTTCCTTTATTCTAGGTCCTGACACTTAATGATCTTATAACGGTAAATATATATACCCTATTACTCTATAAAGTTCATAAATATATTACATTCAACTTCCCTTTATAAGACAGGCCAGCTCATCATGAAAATCTGTCTTTATTAGTGTAATTTATTTGGAAACAAAATAAATCACAGCTGTTAAATCCAAAGTCAAAAAACAATCTCAATTCATTTCTACATTCTACAAACAGTTCTACATTCATTATTCAATTGATACAAACTATAAATTGATACAACAACTTTTTCCATCACTGATGAGGGTGAAAGTGAAGAGTCAAAAGACTTAGACTTACAGAATCCATTGATTTTGGAGAAATGAACTTGATTTCTTCACTAATGAAGTATTAGCATAAGCACATAATACATTAAAGGTTATCAAAGCTAAGTTCCAATAGACAATGCTTTTTTTTTGGCTGAAATGCACAAAACTCAACTTTTTTTAAAGTTTTTTTTTTTTTTAATTTATTTATTTCTAGGAGAGAGAGAGAGACAGCGTGAACAGTGGAGGGTCAGAAAGAGAGGGAGACACAGACTCTGAAACAGGCTCCAGGCTCTGAGCTGGCAGTCAGCACAGAGCCCGACACGGGGCTCAAACCCACGAACCGCAAGATCATGACCTAAGCAAAAGTTGGACGCTCAACCGACTAAGCCACCCAGGCGCCCCACAACTCAACTTTTTAATAAGGCCCTTTATTGATAACAGTAAGTTATTCAGAATATTAGCTCATGAAAAGCAGAGGAAAAATACTTGAGTGGAGTTACAAAAGAAAACACTAAAAAATTCCATTTCTTTCTCTAAAAACGTACTTTTCATACTTAAACATTTTCAGAAATCAAGACAGATCTTAGATACATTTTTTTTTAATGTTTATTCATTTTTGAGAGAGAAACCAAGGTGGAGAGGGGCAGAGAGAGAGGGAGACAGAATCCTAAGCAGGCTCCAGGCTTCAAGCTATCAGCACAAAGCCTGATGCAGGGCTTGAACCCATCAACCGTGAGGTCATAACCTGAGCTGAAGTCGGATGCTTAACCGACTGAGCCACCCAGGCACCCTGAAAACAGATACATTTATTCTAAGATCTCTTTTTTCCTTAAAAGACTATCATTTAAAACGGTACATTTTATAACTGATGGTATCTTAGAATCAGGGACATGCAGTATTTTGTAAAAATATCTGAAAATTAAGCCTAAATCATTTGTGTGCCAGAGACAAAATTTTTCAGGATCTGAGACTATTTAAAGCCAGCCATCTTGAGGAATATTTAAGTGTCCCAAAACCTTGAGCTCAAACAGCTTCTCTGTCTAATCAATAAGAACCTAAGTTTCTTGAGTTCAAGTGCTAGTGTTCTTCCCATAATCCACTATGTATAAGCAACATTATAGTCCATTTCCAAATGGCAGACAATAAAAATTCTAGCATATTTCTACCCAAAAATGTTTTAGGAAACTGTCTGCAATTATTAACCATTAATAATTACAAAATTGGAAAGTTTACCTTTACATCAAAACATGCAGAAAGCACTGGCCTATGGTTGGAAAGCCTAGATTCAAATCTTTCTTAGATTATAATTTCTCTCTAGATTTAATCTCTTTTACAATTAAAGTAGCTGCATGACCCTGGGTAAAGGTATCATTGTACTTCCCAGGTCTCTTCCAGTGTAAATACGGACTCCTCAGATACAGGACTCATTCACATCATCAGATCTGAACACTTAATACCTATTTATCCTTTTTTGGAACTTTTTTAAAAGTGCTGTTGGCCACAACCTATCCTGGAAAGAATTCTGACAGAATAACTTCTATAACTGCCATATCTTCATAGCCATAATTTTTTTTCTCCCAGCGGTCCTAGTTAAGTCAGAAAGCAGAAGAGACACACTAAGGAAACAAACACTGCCGTGGGTATTGTTCTTGCCTAAGCAAACACCGGGAGAGCGTTTAGCCTACATATTCTTGCATACATACTGGGATGGACAGCTCCACAAATATGGAGGGATTTGTTTTCTTTCACTGGCCAACTCCTTGAGCAAGCTGCCAGTCTGTACAGAAGGACCCATGGAAACTACAAAGCAATACTTTTTCCAATGAAACTGCTTGTGTAAGCACACTCTTGTAGCAAAGTGTTTATAGTTGTCCTAAAATTTTGGGTGAAGTATCATTCACATAGGGAATTTTCATACTTCAAGAAACCTAACACTTGCATGGATATGTACACAGTGAGTTTCCTAACCATTCACGTCAAGTTCTTATCCTTCAGAAACCGTAAATACAATAAAATATTTCTGTGCATTAAGGGAACTTAAATCTAGATATTGCATATTCACTTTACAATCTTACATCATGTAAATAAAATTAAATAAAATGGAATTAATTTTTCAATAAAACAAAGATTTTCATATAGAAAATCTAGCTTATATGTGTGCTAAGTTACAAATAAGTTAAAAAAATAAGCCCATTGACAGCACTAGCATTGATCGATTTTTCTTCTTTTACAGTTAATCACTTTTATTTTGAACAACCTCGGGGTAAGTTCATATTAATTTTTAAGCTATTGTAAACTATAAACCTATTTAATGGACTGAGGGTAATATCTTATTTTTTTTAATCTTTTAGGGCTTCTTTGGGGTAAGACTTTATTTCTATGATTATATTGACAAAAAAACATGTGACATTTAATATCAGGAAAGGTAAGAATAACTCTCCTAAAGTATAAAAACATATGGCAGAATCAAACCCAACTGACTCACCTAAATTAGAGCTTTTAAGTTATAAACTCTAAACAATTAGATAATTTCTGCAGGTCTAAAAAGGTATTCTTTTCATACGGCCATGGTATTTGACAAAATTTCAGCCTACAAAAATATATGCAATATTAGGTGAAGAAATTTCAAACAGTAAATTTTACCTTAATCTTCTTTTTATGTTATGGACAATTCATAGTAAACAAACAAACAAAAAAGCCTGCTGTGAAACTACCAAATCTAGAAATGGCCTGATTTAAGGCAAGGCAAAACATCTCTTTAACCCCAAAGCATCAGCTTGCTGGATGGAGAGGCTACAAATCATGAGACTTCTACTTTGATTCTCATCCAAGTTTGTTCTCATTTTAAAATATATACAAAAGATAAGCTTTGCACAGTGGCAGTATCATAGCCAAGGAGATGTATCCAAGGCACGATTATTGCTAATTGAAAATATATACAAAAGATAGATATGCTCCTTTTTTAAATATATGAATTAATGGCAATCAAAATTACATATGATATGTATTTATTTTAATCTACCTTGAGAGAAGCTAATGAGTCAAAATATTCTCAGCGCCAATTTTGAGAAAGAAATTGGATTTCACCCACTTCTTCCTTCTTATATATTTCATTGCCCCCAAATGCTTATTTAGTATTTCTGACCACTCCAGATGCTCTTATCAGGCCATCAAAGGCCAAGGAGGAGAAGCTAAGTGCTTTGTTGCAGAAAAACCTAGCGGAGGATTCAATTTATCAGCATTTAAGGTGTAACAGGACCATGTTATTTTCCATCTGCCAATACACGATTATATAAATACTAACCCATCAGCAATAAAATAACCATAAGATGGGAGACGTGAGTGGAAACAAGAAATTATGGCAAGAATACCTTCATGTAATAACTATAATCTGTATTGTTTATTTTGACAGAGATAATTCTCTCCCTCCTAGGTCAGAAGTTATATACTAAGGTTAGTAAAATCTCCAAATATCTTTCAAGCGCTACTATATAGTTTAAAAAAAATTTTATCTTGGGAGTTTAATAGTCTCAGGTTACGTCCATATTGATATATTAATAGTATGATTAAAAGTGTACTGATGAAAGCAGTAACTAGCCTACTTAAATTATAAATGCTTTCTTCAAAGGATGCATTTTTAAATCAGTTTACTTATTGAAACCTCACAAATACGTTTAAAAAAAATAAGACCAACCACCATTTCTTATACTGTAAGAAAATATAAGCATTTAACTTCTAAAAGTGGTTGGAATTTTCAAGCGCCCTATTTAGCGACCAAATATTCAGGTTTTAGATTGTTACGGGCTTACTATGCAGGTTTAGCATATGCTTCCATTTGAGTTTTAAATGCTGGCAAAAGTTCCAGAACACCTGCTAGCAAGACAAACACGACTGCCACCACATATTGCTGCCACATATCCTTAGGTTCAGATATTATCAAATCAATTCTCTTTGGGCTCAAATTATGCAAACAGTTGCAATGATGCTAGTTAAATCAGCTGTGGCCTTAAAGTCCAGTCATAAACCATTAACTGTATTACTGTGGATAACATGAGTACTGTTTAAATAATATATAATCTTCCAAACTGCATACTTAAAGCAACAAACCATCAAAGCTTCATGACCTTAGTAGGAAGTACAATACAGGACAGGTTTTGGAACCAGGCAGACCAGGATTCAAATCCCAGCTATGTCCCTTACTGAATAACCTTGAGACAATCTTTAGAAGTATCATTTTCATCTGTGAAATGGAAATAATACCACCTAACTTCACGAGATTGTTGTGAGGATTGAGTGATATAATGTAGATACTCAGTAAATGGTATCTGTTATTACTATTTTACTAAGTCTCCTTTAGACAAAAAGTATTCTGAGAGTATTCTTCCTCATACCAAATGATAAGAAAAGCAAATATGGAGGCAATATCACCTAGTGATATAGGAGCAAATATTCCTCCAGAAATGTCTTCAACTAAAATTTTAATCTGGTTTTTCTTATTATAGATGATGCTGGATATTTATAACACTTATCAGAAGATTATCTACTTCTACCTATAGTATACATTTTATAATTCTGCATACTTTAGAAATGTTCCAGAGCAAACTCTAAAATGCCATGAATAATTCATTATTAACAGACCATGTGCTTTAATCATTCTTTAAATAAAACATTACTATTACCTAATATCTTTTCTAATGTCGATTTAAATGTTTCAACACTATTAGATATAAGTAAATGTTGACCTTCAGGGAATTGCTCAAGCTTTCTCAATAGCTTTTGTAAGTAGCTTTAAAGAACTCTATTCAGTGCCAGGAAAAAGCAGTCTCTTCCTGCCAAACAGTACAAGTAGAACCCAACTCTTTGATTCTGGGAGAAGGTCATCCTACCCCTCAACTAATGAGCAGGTCATCCTGGTCAAGTGCAAGTCCCTTATTACATACCAGGGACCAGGAATTTATAGATTTTAGAAAATTAATACCATACTTAAACCTTATAATTCTTCCAGAAAGGTCTGAAATAGCATCCAGAAATCAAATGTTCTATATGTTTCTCAGCAAACCTTAAGTCGCACTAATGAGAAAAAAGCTTCCTGTAAGTTTAGATCAGGTTTACCACCAAAGTAAAAGTAGTTTTGATGCTAATTTAGCAGGGTTGGGGTGACTTTTGATTTCCATAAGCCCAAGTTCTATTCTCAAGCTACAGAATAAGCCTAATACTTTTTTCAAATAGGTGAAGAAAAGGAAACAACCATGTCTCAGATGCCCCATCTGTAGTCCAGCTAGAATGAAGATGAAATTATGATGGTCCCTACTTGAGGTTGACAGGAGTAAATACCATGGGACTTTCCCAATAAATATCTTAGCCAGAATGTGATACACATGCCCACTAAGACAAGTATTTTCCTTCCTCTTCCCTTGTTCCAAAAGCACCCAGGGCATCAACAACTACTTCCTTTCTTAACATTCCCTTCCTAACAAAAAATATGTTTAACTCTCAAAGACCTCCCTCTATCTCTGTCTCATTTCACTCCTTTCTGAACATCTATATGTATTTTTATTTTTTTTTTTACTTTTTAGAGAGGGAGACCATGAGTGGAGGAGAAAGGCTCCCAAGCAGGCTCCTTGCTGAGTATGGAGCCCAACACAGGGCTCAACCTCACAACCCTGGGATCATGACCTCAGCCAAAATCAAGAGTTGGACACAACCAACTGAGCCACCCAGGTGCCCCTGAACACCTATTTTTAATTCATTTATGACACATGCAGTAACAGTAGAGTGAAATACATCCATTTAAATTAGTTTCCTGGACATGTATTTAAATTCAGAATTTTTGAAAAATGAGAACATGAGTGGTTGTTCATTGATCTTGATCTTTATTAACTAAAAGAGTGACTGAAATTTCCTCAAAAAACTGACGACTCTGAAGTCAAACCATAAGGTTTCCATTTTTGGAATCAGCTTCAACAAGATCACGTAAAGCAAACTATAAAGCAAATAACTTAGAGATCGATGAGATTAGACAGTGGAGGAGCTCTCCTAAAGGAGCCCAATATGGCAGGGACATCCTGCAGACCCTAGATCAACAGGGAAAAAAGAAAACAACTGACAAATAAGAACTAGATGGAAAGCAGAAGTTATGGCTGACCTTAAACTTATCTTTATTCAGATTATGATTCTTCAAAGAACATCAGCTGTTTAGATTTGGTTTAAACCATGCTTAAATAGAATACATACAAAATATGTTGCTTATGTTTCTTTTGACTGGAAAGCAGAACATTATATGTTGCATTTCACCGTTTTTACTAATTTTATTCTGATGAAAACCTTTGAAAAGCAAACCATTTTGAAAGTGAATAAAATAATTTCCAAGTGACCGACCCTGCCCTCTGCTCCCCCCCCCCCCGCCACTTATCTATCCTATGAGCTGTTGTGCCACCTTCCTTTCAGCATGTGCTCCTCTGCTGGCCTGTGGCTGACACAGAGATGTGGCTACAACCCGCCACACTCAGCGTTAGAGTCCTCACTCCAGTGTGCATCTCGTTTCTCTGCCACAAGTTTGATGAATTGAGAGTGACTGGCATAAAGCTGGAGTTGATCACTGATGTCCACCCATTTCACTTTTCCAGCATCATCTCCAGCTTCTAGGGTAAGGTTATCCATTATCTCGCCTATTACCAAAGCAAAAACATCACCAAGAAAAAGTAATTCATGTATGTCCTTTTCAACATAACTCTGTAGCTTCAAGTATTCTTACTGTAAACAATCTTAAATCATTAGGTGGCTCAGGGAATTAAAAACTAGAAGGTTCCAAATTTTCCAAAGGCCCAAATTTTAACCACCCTTCCTAAATTTTAAGCAGAGGCACCAGTAAGGTAGCTTTTCTCTTTAAAAAGTAAGAATATTAGGGGCACCTGGGTGGCTCAGTCGGTTAAGCATCCTACTTTGGCTCAGGTCATGATCTCACAGTTCATGAGTTTGAGCCCCATGTTGGGCTCTGTGCTGACAGCTCAGAGCCTGGAGCCTGCTTTGGATTCCGTGTCTCCCTCTCTTTGCTCTCCCCTATCCCCTCCCACACACTGTCTTTGTCTCTTAAAAATAAACATTAAAAAAATTAATTTACAAAAAGTAAGAATATTAGCCTTAAAAAAAAAAAAGAGTTCATATTAAATGAGTATGAAAACTTAGATCAAAATAAGTTCTAGAGAGACTGGAGATTTAAATGTAAAAAATAAAACAATTATTGGCAACTCATTTTACACTCTTAAGTAGACCTTTCTAAAATAAGCATGGGGGTGCTTGGGCAGGTTAGTGTCAGGTAAGTGTCTGACTCTTAATTTTAGCTCAGGTCATGATCTCCTGGTTCACTGACAGTGCAGACAATTCTCTTTCCAGCCAACCCCCCCCCACTCATGCTGTCTGTCCCTCCTTCCCTTTTTCAAAATAAATAAAGTAAAATAAGTAGGACACCAAATCAGAAACCATAAATGAAAATATTTACAATTAAAATAAAGCTCTCGGTCACTGTTGGGAATGTTAATGGCCTATTTCTGTACTCCAGTTTGGCAGTGCTTATTAAGAACTTTTAAAAAAGCAAATGCTGGGGCACCTGGAGGCTCAGTCAGTTGAGCAGCCAACTCTTGATTTTGGCTCAGGTCATGATTGCATAGTCGTAGGAATCATGCTGAGATTCCTCATTGGGCTCCATGCTGAGAATGGAACCTGCTAGAGATCCTCTTGCTCTTACTCTCGCTGCCCCTCTCCCCCTGCTCTGATTCTCTTTCTAAAAGAAAAAAAAAGGAGCACATGGGTGGCTCAGTCGGTTAAGCATCCGACTCTTGGTGTTGGCTCTGGTCATGATCTCAGTTTGCTAACAGTATGGAGCCTGCTTGGGATTCTCTCTCCCTCTCTCCTGCGTGTACTCTCACTTCTCTCTCTCTCTCTCTCTCTGTCTCTTTAGAGAAAAAACTAATAATAAACTTTAAAGAAAAAATAATAAACTTTAAAGAAAAAAAGTTGCTCTTTCATGAGCACTCATTCCAAAAATACCAAAGTGTCTCTTATCAAGTCAGTCTAATAAACGTAAGTTTACCTGTTTCATCATGGTAGTTCACAGCTTCTGTCTCCATCCATGCATTATCAGTATTTCGAGGATCATCAACATATCCTTTATATATCTATTTTTAAAAAGAAACAGAGGAAAAAGGCATACAGTGAAACATGAATGGGCGGAGCAGACGCATGCTACATCAGAAATGTAAATATCCTATTACAAAACAATGTGCGTATAATTCACTTAACTGTACGGTATAAAGTTAAGATGGGAAATTATATGTTACGTATTTTTTACTACAATAAGAAAAAAGTGCCAACCTAAAATCGTCAGTAGGCAATAATTAAACATTTATTTATGATCAAAGAACTGCAATTCAGGGTACACAGATTTGGGTAGCAACCCAGTGTCCCACTAAGGAGCAAAGTCAGAGGTTTTTTACAAAGATAGAAGAAGAATGCTTATATAAGTTGTTTACAAAGAATTTTGATTGGCAATGCTACAGAAAACTAGTCTTGGGTGAATATAATTGGTTGCTAAGATTATCACCAAGAAAGTCCCTCTTGTAGCAAGTCGCAGGTGTTTGTGTACAGTCTTTAGAGTATTTGTGGTTTAGCCCAGTTTAAAAGATGAGGGCCCCACCTGGTGAGGAAGTGCATATGGCCCACCTCCCTAAAGGCCTCTCAGCTCCATTTTAAAACCCCTTGACATAAGTGACTCTGTATTTCACCTTTCATAAATGTAAGTATCACAGAAACTTTCATGTAGCATTCCACATGCCTGTTTTAAATTTCCTACAAGTATTCTCAAGGTCAGCTTTAAAATTCACAAAACCCTCAACTCCTTAGACTCTAATTTCATAATCTGAGAATAGTCATATTTAGGCCATAGGACTTTTTGAAAGGCTCTATAAGTATTTTTCTGTTTATAATTTCCATGATTATAGTTTCAGACATACAAAGATACATTCTTTTAGTTAAAAAGAGAAGATCTATAAATAAATTTAGTAAAGACTAATATTTAAGCTATTAATACAGAGAAAGATTTGGATCTAGCCATCTAACACAAATGTGGCCCCAAAAGACTGAACATAAATAAGAAATTCTAATTCTAGAAAGAAAACTAAGCAATTCAAACAAAAGCCAGCAAAGAAGACAAGAAACTCTCTTTTTCCTTATTATCAGTACATATATCCCTTATAAGGCAACTTTTTTTTAATCACAAAGGGGATGTAGACAAAACATAAGACAAATGGTTACAACCAGAAAATCTCTGAATAACATAATTTAAAACATAAATGTTCTCTCAAAAGAGCTAAATTCATGTAAATTTTTTTAAAAGGCTTCTGGATGGATGGGTGAGCTCAGTGTCACTTTAGCTAACATCTAGTCTAAAGACAAACTAAGAAGAAAAGTGTATTCTAATACATGTAACTGACCTAAAGTTGGACTACAAAACCTTAAGTAGAAATCTATTTACAGTGAAGATCTACTATAATTTGCTTTTATGCATATGTATTTCAAATATGCAAGTAATTCACTCTATTCGGAGAATAATCTATCAGATTTCCAGGTGAACTTTTATGGAATTTTCACTAATCCATGAGGCTAAATCCTTCATAGGAACCAGCACTTCTTACCACGAGATGTTCCTGGCTGAAGAGTTTGTGTAACTGTTCCTCTAATTCTCTCTTTTCTGCACTGGATTTCTGTAAGGAGTTGAGAGCTTCCTCACCAAATTCTCTTTTCAGTGTAGCACTAATCTTCTCTCCTGGATCCACCATCCCCTAATAGCCACATTATTATTAAAAAAAAAAAAAAAGAAAGAAAGAAAGAAAGAAAAAAGTAAAAAGCTTTCATTCATTCAACAAATATTTACTGGGTGATGCAGTCGACATTCATTATTCTACCTGGCCATCATGATCCCCATTCTTCTGTGATATCTTCTTCTCTAAACCATTTGATTCTACAAGTAGCCAATCACAGAATCTCAGGTATTTGACTACCATAATTTGTCCAAGGTTAGCCAATGGTAAACTGAGCTAATCAGACTCCTTTGCTGGTATCTTCCAAACTCAAGCTAAGGAAGGAAGGCCTGGAGGCAAGAAAGAATATAGCAAGCTGATACTTCCCCGTTGTTTATTCCATTCCAGCCACACTGACCTCCTGAATGTGTATAGGACAAACCCCCACTTTAAGGCCTTTGCACCTGCTATTACTTGTGTACAACATGCTTTTCCCTAGATACCCATATGCATCATTCATTCACCTTCGTCTAATCTTTGCTTAAATGTTACCTTCTCAGAGACCTTTCTAACCACTCTAATCTAAAATTGCAAACTCTCAACCATTTCCTAGTCTGCTTCCTTGCTTTAGTTTTTTTCTTAATATTTATACCTTCAAACATACAATAGCATATTTTATATTATCTGTTTCCCCCACTGGAATGTAAGATACGAGAAAACAAGGATGTTTATGTTGCTCTATTATAGTCTCAATGTCTAATATATCAGCTGACAAAAGACAGATACTCAAAATATACTGATTAGATGAATGATTATCAAAATGACATCAAGGACAACAGTTTCCTTACTGATCAGAAGTTCAGATGACAATAAAAATATAAAACCCTATGATGAAATCATTGTGTTTTGCACTAAGCATGGGTGAAGTTCAACAATTTGGCTCATAATTAACCTAAGCTTTTATCACAGTCATCTGGGATTCTTATTGCCAATCCATTTTTATCCTACAAAGGAAAAAAAAACATTCTTGCAGAAAGCAGTATATTATAAAGAATCATCCTCTTATCAAAATTATCTCCATTTCATAATATGGCATAAATATAAAACCCTCTATTGCACACATATACATTTTTAAAAGCCACCTCAAATATATCACTGAAATGAACTCAACAAAAGTACACTGTTCCTGAAGCTATTACAGAAATTTTAAAAACTATAAGGAGGGGCGCCTGAGTGGCTCAGTTGGGTAAGCACCTGACTTTGGCTCAGATCATGATCTCACGGTGTATGAGTTCAAGCCCCACATCAGGCTCTGTGCTGACAGCGTGGAGCCCACTTCAGATCTTCTGTCCTCCCTCCCTCTGCCCCTCCCCAGCTTGTTCACTCGCTCACTCTCTCTCAAAAGTAAATACTTTTTAAAAAATGTTTTTTTAAACTACAAGGAACAGTACGTAATAAGAATTATCTTTTTTATGCCTAAAAATAATGAAAATTCAATAAACCAATGTTAACAGTCTTACCTTGGACCTGGAAGTAGGGGTTGAGTTCTGAGATAGGATCCAACATGTATGAATACCTACTTTATGCCAGGTGCTTTATATGCTATTGCTAGCAATCCTACGAAGTAGATATAATTATGTAAATTCTAAAGAGAAGGGCCTGGGACACCTGGTTGTCTCAGTGAGTAGAACAAGCAACTCTTGATCTCAGTGGTGTCACTTAGAGCCCCCGTGTTGGGTAGAGAGACTACTTAATAAATAAAAGTTTTAAAAATTTAAGATAAGAGTCTGAACTCCATATTCTCAGCTCAAAATGGAAAGGCCAAGGTATAAGCCTAGGTCTAACTCCAAAGTCCATGTTCTTTTCCAATGGCTTTATAATTAGACTCAACTTCTAACAGCCTTGATGTATTATCCTACACTTGCTATTGACAGTGAGACTTCGTTGCAGTGATAAATGACAAAACAATTATTAAGTGTGAAGGAATGGAAGATAAATGGAGGATAAAGATCTACACACAATAGCCTTGCAGTAAATGAAACAACTAAAAAAACCTTAAAAAACATTACTTTAATTTTAATTCTTACCCCTGGGATTGCCCATTCTCCACAGTCTTTCCTTTTTATTGCCACAAACTGTAAGATGTTTTTCCCAGAAACAGGGTGGGTAATTTTATTTCCACTTCTATCCCTTTTCCACCTGTAAATAGTAATATAAAATCATAACTGATTTTAAACAAAGAATAAGGATCTATCTCAAGCTTGAGACAAAGTTATAAAGATGTATTTTTCTCTATAACAAGAGTAGATATAAATTTACCTCTCAGCTAGTTTTACCAAAAAGATTATTTTGTATTAGAAATATTCTGGGGCACCTGGACTTCAGCTCAGGTCACGGTCTCACGGTTCATGGGTTCAAGTCCTGTGTCAGGCTCTGTGCTGACAGCTCAGAGCCTGGAGCCTGCTTCAGATTCTGTGTCTCCCTCTCTGCCCACCCCCTCATGCTCTGTCTCTCTCTCTCTCAAAAACAAACAAACATTTTTAAAAAAACTATTCTGTATTTAGCACTATTACAAACCAAGTCAGATGTCTACTTTCCAAAAGAGATATTGTATTCTCTGTAATAAAAATTCAGAAAATAAGTCATTTTTACTATTTAAAATATTATTAAAAAAAGTGTAAAAGCAGAACAGAATTTAGAGGATGGGTCATAAAACTTTTAAAAAAAGTCAAAGGATCCTTTTTAAGAATTACTTTTAGTATAAAAGATCTGGTAAGATTTCCTTCTAACAGGTCACTTATCAAAAATGCAGGTTACACAATATAAGTTCAGCTAGTCTCAACAGTAGTGCTTCTCAATCTTTATGCCCTTAATAAAAAAAAAAAACAACACTATATCCTTTAGTTTTTAAAAAAGTATCAAAGTGGGGCACCTGGGTGGCTTAGTTGTTTGAACATCTGACTCTTGATTTAAGTTGAGGTCATGATCCCAAGGCATGGGATCAAGCCCTGCATCACTCCATGTGGCGCCTGCTTGGGATATTCTCATTCTCTCTCTCTCATTATCTCTCTCTCTTCTTTTCTCCCCCGCCCCCCCCATCCCTGCTCCTCTCCCCAACTCAAGCTCTCTCTTAAAAACAAAAAAAGTATCACAGTGATGTTAATTTCAGAATGAACTTTTTTTTTTTTTAGATTTTTTTTCCTTAGTAATCTTTACACCCAAATGGGGCTCAAATTTACAACCCTGAGATCAAGAGTCACATGCTCTACCACCTAAGCCAGCCAGGCACCCCCAGAATGCGTTTTTTCTAACCATAGCCTCTTTCCCAGAGATGCTGATACATCTCCCTGTCTCTTCTCTACCCCCACCACACCCAATTTTAAGAATTTTTCTAATACTATCTTGGGCAAAAAAAAAGATTTTTAACCTCTAGTACTAAACCAAAAAAGAAAGCCTATGATCTAATCATTGCTTTGAATTAGATTCGATGAAATAAATGAGTTTAAATAGTTCTCCCCTCCCCCCACAAATAAATAAATATGAGTTTCAAAATTTCTTTATAGTTTCAAATTTTCTTTATAGTGTGGTTGACTACCATCGAACCCATAATCCCTGCCCTGAAAAAACTCAGTCTAGAGTGGAGCTAGATGTGTAAGTGAATAAATTATAAGAGACTGACAGTTTGACAAGTACAGTAAATAGTACAGGAAGACAGCATCTGTTTTTAAGGATGCCCAACATAGGTATAACATGAGCAAGCAACGAAGGTATAAAATAATATGTTTTATAGGTGGGATCTGGGACCACGGGCACCACAGAGAGAAAGAAGGATGATGAGGCTGGACAAGTAGGCAAAGAATTCATCAAATTCATCTGCTTAGAGAGCCAGAAAGTATCTTTAAGTAGGGTAAGACCATAAGCAATTTGTATTTAGAAAGCTCACTCACTTTGACAAAAGTGTGGAGGCTGGCTGGGAAGAAAGCAAGACTGGTAGCTACAAGACGGTTACCATTGATGAGGGAGCATAAGGCAAGCTGACAGCCAAGTACAAGCTAGCACACCCCCACCCCCCGGGTGGGGTATGTGTGATATCCCCAGTCACTCCTGGCTGCCCAAGAACCAAGGAAAAGAAAGAAAACAAATGGTTAGAGATCAAGGTCATGCAGAACATGAGTCTCTATCAGTTTACTAATACCTTGGTACAGGAAAAAGTCAATCTTTTCAATAGCCTAATCTTCAGAAACCTAGACTCAGTTTCCTGGAGCCCCTTATATCACCTGCCCCTCCATAGCAGTATGGGGAAAAAAGACAAGAGGGAAACGTCAGGTAAAATGAAATTTCCTCATAACCTACAGCCCAGCTGACAAATACTTGAGGCAAATACAGAGCATAACATTTCTCCAGGAACCCCCTACTATCTTAATGTTGTTAATACCTTACGAGAGGGAAAACAACCTGAGCTTGACAACAAGGCCTCAGGTATCTCAGGAGTCCTCTTTAGCTTATGAAGTCCCTCTGGAGGCCTCCCTTTTGCCTTTATCTCCCCCAATTCCAGAGTATATAAGCAGTGGCTCCTTACAACCCCAGTGCAGCTCTTTCTGCCCACGGGTCCTGTCCCTGTGCTTTAATAAAATCACCTTTTTGCACCAAAGATGTCTGCAAGAATTCCTTCTTGGCCATCAGTTCCGAACCCCACCATCACCCCAAAACCTCGTCACCATGATCCAGGTACAAGGTTATGAGAACAGGACTGAAGGCAGACATGGTACCTTTACTTCTTAAAGACTATTTATATAGCACTTATTATGTACCTGATACTGCTTTAAATCTTTCATGTATTGATCCATTTAAGCCTCAAACAACCCTATAAAGTAGTTGCGTTATTATCTTTATTTTACAAATGTGGAAAATGAAGACACAGTGGATTAAACTTGTCTAGGACTGCAGAGCTAATTGGTATAAACCAAAATTTGAACACAATCTGCTTCCAGAATCTGCACTCTTAATCACCATACTGTTTACTTAAATCAAACAGAATGTTTACACTAATTGGGTAAGAGGAAGGTGTAAGAAGGTGAATGATGCTCTGTTCACTCACACACACTTACTAGCACCTACTATACACACATTCGGGGAGCTGGGAAAACGAAGACCAGGAGAGAAGCTGCTGGGCGAGAGAGGGCTAGACTGATGAACAGCTTGCATATCCTGTTTACTTTCTCAAATTTTACCCCAAAGACACTCATTTAAGAATTCATGAGCAGAATAGTTTCTTGTTTTGTTCCTTATAATAAATATCAAATGATGTGGGGAAACAAAGGCAGATTGAAACGGAAGATAAAATTAAATTTCCTTATTACCTGCAGCCCATTGACAACTTGAGGAAGGCAGAGTAAAACATTTCTCCAGGAACTTCCTACAGTCTTAATGCTTTGCTAGAGGGAAAAACAACCTCAGCTTGACAATTACTAGGCCTCCAGTATCAGGTGAGTCTTCGTTAGCATATGAAAATCCCTTAGGAAACTTCCCCTTGACTTTACTCCCCCAACTTCCAAGTATATAACCAGTCTCTCCTCAGAGGTCCCAATGCAGCTCTTTCTGCCCTCAGGTCCTTATACTTTAATAAAATCACCTTTTTGCACTGAAGGAGTCTCAAGAATTCTTTCTTGGCTATCAGCTCCAATCCCCATCACTCCAAAACCTCATCATCATATAAGTATTATAACTTGTAATTCAAAACAAAATTATTGGGGTGTCTTGGTGACTCAGTCGGTTGGGCAGCCGACTTCAGCTCAGGTCATGATGTCACGGTTCATGGGTTCGAGCCCTGCATCGGGCTCTGTGCTAACAGCTAGCTCAGAGCCTGGAGCCTGTTTCAGATTCTGTGTCTCCTTCTCTCTCTGACCCTCCCCTTCTCACACTCTCTCAGAAATAAATAAAAAACGTTAAAAAAAATTTTTAACAAAATTATTGATATAATGGAAATAATGTATATTTTAACTAATTAACATCATTAATGCTTCTTAAATGCCAATGATTATTTCTAAGTACTACTGATAGTCCCTTCCCACTTCTGATGGCCCATACCTTCCTGTCTCACCGAAACTGGAAAGAAAATGATAATACCATTAACTATGGATCTGACTCTATTCACAGTAATATATCAACACGTCCCACCTCACTTTCACTCTAAAGGATCTAAAGGAATATCAGATAGTTGCAAACATCCAATCTCTAGGAGAGGTCCCTGCAAACAGAGATATTTAACACTCCCTGGGGAGCATGAACAAGACCATTTGTGAAACTACACTATACAGCGCTGTTCTCAATCCTGAAGTACTTGAAAGAAAAGGGAAAGGAATCTTTTCTTTAAAGTGCCTAGGTGGTTCTTATGATTACTGATTAGTGAAAAACTGGTATAAAAGAGAAAAAGCATAATATCTGAAGCCAAATACCGCAATTCAAATTTCAGATCGACATAAAGATTTAGGCAAGTCACTTAACCCCAGTGAGTCTTCATTTTCAGATCTATAAAACAGATGTTAACACCTACTTTGAGGAGTTCTGTGAGAAACAAATGGAAAAACTGATGACAACACCTAGCAGAGGAGAGCAAAACATTTTAACAATGTGCTTAGCCTTGTTGATGCTTCCTTTAACATCTTACATTCTTCTCTTCCTTCCATTTCCACTGCTACTCACTCACTGAGAGCAACTCATAGGTTAATATATGCATTACGGAGGTAGCATATATTAACCTATGAGCTTAACCAAAGAGCATCAACCTAACAGTACAGGTGAAAGCTAGACTGTACCATCTATGGGCTTTTCCATAGCCTTGGACCCCTCAAAGTCTTCAGCTGTTGCATTTGTATAATGGCAGAATTAAGCTCAAAAAGTCTATTACTTCAAACGATGCAACACAACCACCACATACACTCCCATGTATTTGGTCCACCAGAGATAAAGATAAGCTAATGAGAGGCTAACTTCCAAGTGTCCAGCTTCCCTTTTCTGCTTCTTGTCCCCTTACTAGCATACCTACTTCAAATGTTGCACACCTTCCTGATTTTAGCCAGCCTTACCAAAATTGGAAAGAAACTGATACTGTCATTAATATTTTTTATTTACATTCATTAAAAGTATATTAACTCTTCCCATTTCATTTAAACCATAAAGATTCTAAAGAAATTTTATTTAAGTTTACTTTTTTATTCTGAAAGAGAGCATACACACACAGGGAGGAGAGGCAGAGAAAGAGAAGCAGAGAGAGAATCCAAAGCAGTCTCTGTGCTGACAGCAGGGCCCGATTTCACGAACCATGAGATCATGACCTGAGCCGAAATTAAGCTGGACACTTTACCAACTGAACTACCCAGGTGCCCCTCTAAAGGAATTTTAAATGGACAGGCGTTGGCTTGGTGGGTAGACATAAGTGATAGATATGTAGGTAGATGGGTGGGCAGGTGGAAGAAAGGGAGGGAAGGAGGAAGTGAAGGAGGGAGGGAGAGAGGAAGGGAGGGAGGGAGGGAGGGAGGGAGGAAGGAAGGAAAAAAGGAAGGAAGGAAAAACTGGGGTGAGGTGTGGGGTAAAGATCTCTTTGGGCAGGGGAACTGAAAGGCCAAGAAAGAGAGTAAGATGGGACAAATATTGGTGCCTCTTCCAGTAACTTGAAAATAAAAGAAATAAGCTGCTTTCTTAGAGTTAAACTATGAAATCATTACTGTATCTCAGATCAGAGAAAAAGTTTCCTAAAAGAAAGGAAGACCCTCAAAATACCAAAGTTAAAAAAGTAAAAATATTGAGGGGTTTGCATGATTTAAAAGAAAATGACAATTACATATGCAGAGGGAGTTGGACAGTGAAGAAATCCTAAAAACACAAAAATTAAAAGGATGACAGAATATTCCAGACATGCAGGAAAGATGATTCCTACAGAGACAGTCAAGTCCATTTAAACCTAAGATCACCTGCCTTCCTTATTCTGATTCATGCTTACCAAGGGGCCTTCTGAATACCATGTGGCTTACCAGATAGATCTACCTCAGGAAGAGAATGTCTGTCCCCTGCTCCAAAACCTTCAATGTCTCCACTTCACACCCCTTAATTTTGGTATTTTAATATTCTCCACAATAAAACTGCACAAAAATTACATGTTTGATTACCCACTATTCTCCTACAAAATTTTCTGCTTCAACCATCTGATCTTTTCATTGTCCCTCAATACTCAAATAGATATTACTACAAGCTTTTTTCTTGGGCCTCCTGCTGTCCCCCTATCCAAGCTTCAAGTTCAGCTCGAGTCTGCCTCCTGCACAATGCCTTTCTTGGCTGTTCGAGTTTACCATCATCACAACCCACATTTAATCTAATTTTCTAAAACAGCCTGTCTCACCCATTGTACCGTGACATGTTTTCTTATTTCATATTTTTCATTTTACAAATGAAGCCATAGTTCTGTGACAGGGAGCTGAAACTTAGAATTCTTTTATTTTTTTTTATCCTTCAAAACACCTACTCAACCCTGAGAACAGATGTTCAATAAATACCAGGTGAATGAACTTTGTTCAGATAATGCCTAGCCTACTCATACAAAACTACAGCTTTACACTTATATCACATTAGTATGACTTCATATCAAGTCCCTTTAAAATATGGATTTCAACTGTTTCTGCTTATGAGCATAATGATACACATGTACATATATATACAAATGCATATATTTATACATATATATATACATACACATACACACATACATATGTGTGTCTGTATATATAAACACGTAGTTACAGTCTGTATTTCTCCAATCACCTGGCTCTTTGCTACTGAAATGTTTGTTTCACTCTTACCTGGTTATAATGGGATCTGCAGCATGATTTGGGCCCCATCGCCCCAAAAGCCCCCGGCCAATCAGCCCTGTCCGTCCTGCAGGATTTCTGGGAAAACAACATAAAAAAATCAATTGAATATGTTCACCTCTTTAAGCCCAACTTGATATGGCCCAAAAGAAGGCAGAAAGTAAAATAAGAGGGAAATAATATCTCCTCCCAAATTCAGTAGTGCTATCACATCTGACACTAAAATCACAAATTTCCAGTATTACTATTATATAATTTTTCTTTTGTGCATGTCTTAAGCTTTGGGCTTGACCCAGGAGGAAGATCTCATCTCCAAAGTTGTTCTATAGGAGAATTTGTTTCAGTTTTCACCTATACTCCTAAATTCAAACTAGCACCTTACTGGATTCTCACAATAGGGCAGATGAATGGTCTGCACCAACAATCATCTACAACAGTGATTATCATTCAAGATATCCACACTTTTTGTAGCATATAATGAGGTAGTTTTATTTAGTATTTCAAGATTTCAAATATACCAAAATCAATTTTTAAAGAAAACAATCATAAAAATTCCAACTTACTATTTAACCAAATAGCAGAACCAAATGTTAAAAAGTCTGCCAGGTGAACACAGCAACAGTCAGGGCTAAGTAATTTTCTTCCAGTCAATATTCCTTAAATGTTCAACTTACATTATGTCCCAGTAAAATGCCCTAATCTACAATCTTACCTTTTTTAAGATTATACCTTTTGTCCTCCCAATACATGAAAGTAAATAAACAAATAGCCAAAATTTTCCCAGTGAGCCATCTGTTTTCATTCGGGTCTTCCTTGTGACTGTTATTCAAGTTGAATGAATTCTTTATACTGTACTAGACCCAAAAAAATTTCAGCAAGACTTTCAATTAGGATAAGATACCTGCCCAGGTGACAATAATTTTAGTTTTCAAATTCACAGGAGGAGGGGCAGGATGGCCAGCAACTATGTTTTGTTCCAAATAAGTATATACCCCTGAACACAAATGATGAAAGCCAATATTTAAAGAGATAAAGTTCATTTTTAGAGATGACCAAGCTTAGAACTTGTAAATTAGAAACTATGGAAAAGACACACAGACTACCCTATAGTCTGAGACACAGAGAAAGTTGTCTGCAGTGAAAGAGAAATAAAGGCAACATTGAAAAGTAGAGATGAATTTTCAATTCTACCCCTTCCCTAAAGTTAGATGCATTTACACTTTGGGCTGCTTGAGATGATCCTATAACCCCACTTTTTACTGAGGCAAGCTAGAATTGTTTCCACTAGACTCTTGACTAAAACAATATGCTATGTTGCCTTTGCTGCCTATCCTTTTACATGGATAAATAATCTTTTAATGTATTTTATTTATCCAGCAAAGAAACTAAGAAATAAGCCAAATGCAAAGAAGGTCTGACTTAAAAGGACAGAAAAGTGAAATTGTGACCAAAGAAAGACTTAGCAAAACAGAAGACCCAGGTTGTGGTGAGAGGAGTCAGATCATTGCTTTGTCCCTGAGTAATGAAGAATAAAGTTGCAACATTTTTTCAAGGTAAAAACCATGATTATAAAATCTAATTCTTCTTTATTTTATTTGGGGCATGCTAATATTTACATTTTTTCCTAACTTTTATAATATCTTCCTAAGAAAAATGGAAATTTTTGGAGTTATGTATAAAAATCATTTTTAAAACTACAGAAAGGCAGAACTTGAAGGTGCAGAGCACATAACAAGCTTTTTAAACTTACAAGAGACAGAAAGCTAGCCAAAATGACGAAACGGAAGAAATCTTCTCTAAAGAAATTCCAGGAAGGAATGACAGCTAAAGAATTGGTCAAAACAGATATAAGCAACATAACTGACCAAGAATTTATAACAACAGTCATAAAATTAATTGCTCAGCTTGAAAAGGCACAGAAACACCAGAGAAGCTATTGCTACAAAGATATGGATATTTAAAATAGTTATGATGAATTAAAAAATGCTACAAATGAGATGCATAATAAAATGGAGGCGGCCACTGCACAGATTGAAGAGGCAGAGAGGAGAATAGGTGAATCAGAAGACACAATTACAGAAAAAGAAGAAATAGAGAAAAAGAGAGATAAACTGATCCAGGAGCACGAAAGGAGAATTCGAGAACTGAGTGATACGGTCAAACGGAACTTATATCTGTATGACAGGAATTCCAGAAGAGGAAGAGAGAGGGAAAGGCACTGAAGGGGTACTTGAACAAATTACAGCTGAGAACATCCCCAATCTGGGGAAGGAAACAGACATTGAAATCCAACAGGCACAGAGAACTCTCCTCAGATGTAGCGTGAATCAATCTTCTGCATATTACCATAGTGAAACTGGCTAAATATAAGGACAAAGAGAGAATTCTGAAAGCAGCTAGGGATAAAAAGGGCCCTAACATACAAAGGGAGACCTATCAGAGTAGTTGCAGACCTATCTACTGAAACTTGGCAGGCCAGAAAGGAATGGCAGGAAATCTCCAATGTGATGAACAGAAAAAATATGCAGCCTGGAATGCTCTATCCAGCAAGCCTGTCATTCAGAATAGAAGGAGAGGTAAAGATCTTCCCAAATAAACAAAACTTGAAAGAATTCGTCACCACTAAACCAGTCCTATAAGAAATCTAAGGGGGACTCTATGAGGGAAAGGTTGCAAGGAACACAAAGTACCAGAGACACCACTGCAAGCATAAATCCTAGAGAGAATACAATGACTCTAAATCCATATTTTTCAATAATAACACTGAATGTAAATGGACTAAATGCCCCAATGAAAAGACATAGTGTATGAGAATGGATAAAAAAACAAAATCCATCAATTTGCTGTGTACAAGAGACTCATTTTAGACCTGAAGACACCTTCTGACTGAAAGTAAGGAGATGGAGAAATATCTATCATGCTACTGGAAGTCAAAAGAAAGCTGGAGTAGCCATACTAATATCAGACAAACTGGACTTGAAAATAAAGGCAGTAACAAGGGATGAAGAAGGACATTATATAATAATTAGAGGGTCTATCCATCAGGAAGAGCTAACAATTATAAATGTCTACGTACCGAACTCAGAAGCACCCAAATACGTAAAATAATCACAAACAGAAACAATCCTACTGATAAGAATGTGCTAATAGCAGGGAACTTTAATACTTGACTTACAGCAGTGGACAGATCAACTAGACAGAAAATCACTAAAGAAATAATGTACTTGAATGACACATTGGACCAGATGGATCTGACAGATATATTTAGAACTCTACATCCTGAGGCCATGGAATTCACTTTCTTCTCAAGTGTGCATGGCACATTCTCCAAGACAGACCACACTGGGTCATAAAGCAGCCCTCAATAAATATAAAAGAATTGAGATCATACCATGCACACTTTCAGATCACATTGCTTTTAAACTTGAAATCAATCACAGGAAGAAGTCTGGAAAACCTCCAAAAACATGGAGGTTAAAGAACACCCTACTAAAGAACTAATGGGCCAATCAGGCAATTAGAGAAGACATGAAAAAATATATGGAAAACAAATGAAAATGAAAATACAACAATCCAAACTCTTTGGGATGCAGCAAAGGCAGTCCTATGAGGAAAGTACATTGCACTCCAGGCCTATTTGAAGAAATTAGAAAAAGCGCAAGTGCAAAATCTAACAGTGCACCTAAAGGAACTAGAAGCAGAGCAGCAAGAACACTCCAAACCCAGCAGAAGAGAAATAATAAAGATCAGGGCAGAAATAAACAATACAGAATCCAAAAAAAAAAAAAACCCAAAAACAAACAGTTGAACAGATCGATGAAATCAAGAGTTGGTTTTTTGAACAAATAAACAAAATTGAAACCCTCTGAGAGCACCCAAATAGACAAAATTATGAATGAAAATGGACTAATTACAACCAACACCTCAGAAATACAAGCAATTATCAGGGAATACTATGAAAAATTATATGCCAACAAACTGGACAACCTAGAAGAAATGGACAAATTCCTAAACACACACACAGTACCAAAATTCACATGGGAAGAGATAGAAAATATGAATAGACCCATAACTAGTGAAGAAATTGAATCAGTTATCAAAAATCTCCCAACAAATAAGAGCCCTGTGCCAGATGGCTTCCCTGGGGAATTCTACCAGACATTTAAATCAGAGTTAATACCCATTCTTCTCAAGCTATTCCAAAAAACAGAAATGGAAGGAAACTTCCGGACTCATTCTACGAAGCCAGCATCACTTTGTTTCCCAAACCAGACAGAGACCCAGGAAAAAAAAGAGAACTATAGGCCAATATCCTTGATGAATACCAATGCAAAAATCCTCAACAAGATACTTGCAAATCGAATCCAACAGCACATGAAGAGAATTATCCACCACAATCAAGTGGGATTCATTCCTGGGTTACAGAGCTGGTTCAATATTCGCAAATCAATCAATGTGATACATCACATTAACAAAAGAAAAGATAAAAACCATATGATCCTGTCGATAGATGCAGAAAAAACATCTGACAAGATACAGCATCCTTTCTAAATAAAGACCTCAAGAAAGTTGGGATAGAAGGAACTTACTGAAACATCATAAAAGCCATTTAAGAGAATCCCACAGCTAATATCCTCAATGGGGAAAAGCTCAGAGCTTTCCCCCCTGAGATCAGGAACACAACAGGGATGTCCACTCTCACCACTGTTGTTTAACATAGTGCTGGAAGTCCTAGCATCAGCAATCAGACAACAAAAGAAAATAAAAGGCATCAGAATTGGCAAAGAAGAAGTCAAACTTTCACTTTTTGCAGATGACATGACACTCTACATGGAAAACCTGACAGACTCCACCAGAAGCCTATTAGAGCTGATCCATGAAATCAGCAAAGTCGCAGGGTACAAAATCAACATACTGAAATTGGTTGCATTTTTATACACCAATAATGAAGCAACAGAAAGAGAAATCAAGAAACTGATCCCATTCACAACTGCACAAAAAAAACATAAAATACCTAGGAATAAACCTAACTGAAGATGTAAAAGATCTGTAAGATGAAAACTATAGAAGCTTATGAAGGAAACTGAAGAAGACACAAAGATATGGAGAAACATTCCATGCTCATGGATCGGAAGAATAAATACTGTTAAAATGTCATTATGACCCAAAGCAATCTACACATTCAATGCAATACCAATCAAAATTGCACCCAGCATTCTTCTCAAACCTAGAACTATCCTTTTTTTTTCAATCTTTTTAATTTATTTCTGAGAGAGAGAGAGAAAGACAGCGTGAACAACGGAGGGTCAAAGAGAGAGGGAGACACAGAATCCGAAACAGCCTCCAGGCTCTGAGCTGGGAGTCAGTACAGAGCCCGATGCTGGGCTCGAACCCACAAACCATGAGATCATGACCTGAGATGAATCTGGATGTTTAAGCAACTGAGCCACCCAGACGCCCCTAGAACAAACTATCCTAAAATGTGTATGGAACCACAAAAGTCCTCAAATAGCCAAAGTAATATTGAAGAAGAAAATCAAAACAGGAGGCATCACCATCCTGGACTTTAGCCTCTACTACAAAGCTGTCATCATCAAGACAGTATGGTATTGGCTCAAAAACAGACATATAGACCAATGGAATAGAATAGAGAACTCAGAATTAGATCCAAAAGTATACGGCCAACTAATCTTTGACAAAGTAGGAAAGAGTATCCAATGGAAAAAAGACAGCCTCGAGCAAAATAAGTCAGGCAGAGAAGGACAAATATCATGTCTGCACGTATAGGAGGATTAGGAGGAACTTGACAGAGGAACAAGGGGGAGAAGAAGGGGGGAAATGGTGGGGGAAAGGGAGAGAGGCAAACCATGACTGACAAAAACTGAGGACTGATGGATGTGGGGGGGAGGGGGGATGGGCATGGAGGAGGGCACTTTGGGGATGAGCACTGAGTGTTATGTGGAAACTAATTTGACAATAAACTATTTGTAAAAAAAAAAAAAAGGAAAAAAGACAGCCTCTTTAACAGATGGTGCTGGGAGAACTGGACAGCAACGTGCAAAAGAATGAAACTAGATTAACATACACAAAAATAAACTCAAGATGGATAAAGGACCTGAATGTGAGACCGGAAACTATCAAAACCCTAAAGAAAGCAGGAAACAACCTCCTTGACCTCAACTGCAGCAATTTCTTACTTGACACATCCCCAAAGGCAAGGGAATCAAGAGCAAAAATGAACTATTGGGACCTCATCAAGATAAAAAAAGCTTCTCCGTGGCAAAGGAAACAATCCATAAAACTAATAAGCAACGGACGGATTGGGAAAAGATAGTTGCAAATGACATATCAGAAAAAGGGCTAGTATCCAAAATCTATAAGGAACTCCCCAAATTCCACACCCGAAAAACAAACAATCCAGTGAGAAATGGGCAGAAGACATGAACAGACACTTCTCCAAAGAGGGCATCCAGATGGCCAAAAGACATATGAAACGATGCTCAGCATCCCTCCTCATCAGGGAAATACAAATCAAAACCACACTGAGATACTACCTCACACTGGTCAGAGTGGCTAAAACAAAAAATCAGGAGACTATAGATGCTGGCAACGATGTGGAGAAATGGGCACCCCCCTACACTGTTGGTTGGAATGTAAACTGGTGCAGCCATGCTGGAAAACAATGTGGAGGTTCTTCAAAAAATTAACAATAGAACTCCCCTAAGACCCAGCAATAGCACTGCTAGGAATTTACCCAAGGGATACAGGAGTGCTGATGCATAGGGCCACATGTACCCCAATGGTCATAACAGCACTCTCAACAATAGCAAAATCGTGGAAAGAGCCTAAATGTCCATCAACTGATGAATGGATCAAGAAGATATGGTTTGGGACACCTGGATGGCTCAATCAGTTAAGTGTCCAACTTCGGCTCAGGTCATGGTCTCACCATTTCTGAGTTCAAAGCCCTGAGTCAGGCTCTGTGCTGACAGCTGAGAGCCTGGAGCCTTCTTCAGATTCTGTGTCTCCCTCTCTCTCTGCCCCTCCCCTACTTGTGCTCTGTCTCTGTGTCTCTCAAAAATAAATACATGAAAAAAAAATTTTTTTAAGAAAAAAAAAAGATGTGGTTTATCTATACAATGGAATACTACAAGGCAATGAGGAAGAATGAAATCTGGCCATTTGTAGCAACGTGGATGGAACTTGAGGGTGTTATGCTGAGTGAAATAATTCAGACAGAGAAGGACAGACACCATATGTTTGCACATATAGGTGGATTAGGAGGAACTTAACGGAGGACCATGGGCGAGGAGAAGGGGAAAAATAGTTGGGGAGAGGGACGGAGGCAAACCATGAGAGACTCTTGAATGCTGAGAACAAACTGAGGGCTGGTGGGGGAGAGTGGAAGGGCGGTGATGGGCATGGAGGGCAGTTGTTGGGATGAGCACTAGGTGTTATATGAAAACTAACTTGACAATAAACTATAAAAGGAAAAAAAAGTACAGAAAGAATCTTGATGTTAAATTATTGGGTAATTTTTATTTTTACTCTTACATGTTTGGATAAATTCTTAGTTTAAGGCATTAATTAAATAAATTTAATAAAGAACTACTGAATATACAATTCTCGATCCTTCCTCTGTTAATTTATTCAATTATTTCTACCTTCAAAGTGGAATTATAAAAAAAATGCATTCAAATATAACCTCTACCACTTAACTGTATGTAAATTACTTTCATTCTCTCTCCTTATCTGTAAACGGAACTAATAATACCCACCCACAGGGTTATTGTAATGATTTAATCAGATCATACATATAAATTCTTTTGTACACTGGCACAAATACTAGATAAATGTTAACTACATTTTGTACCTTTTGAAGACCTATTATGGTAAGATATCCATCCCCAGTACCTACCTGGGCCTTCCATTTTCAATCTCATATAGACCATTCTGGCTCTTTCTCTCAACATGCCCATCCTTTTCATTAAACTTGGGAGAGAAGTTACTTTCACTGTAATGAGAATACCAAAGCAAAATAAGAAATAATGGCCCAGTACTACCAACAGCTTCCTAATGCCAGTCATCCTGTTATTTTAATAATGCATCCCTGAAACGAAAATTGAGTTAGTTTTCATTTACAAATCCATCTTAGTCCTTCAGAACAGTTTCTAGAGAAAAAAAAAAATTAACCAAAACGCTTTACAGTACAAGGACGTGTATTATAACCCCTCTAGGAAGGACTAGGCAGAAAAACGGCAGCTCCTCCCACATGCTACAAAGAAAGTCTACATCATTTATCAGCATGGAGGAACTATCTGTGGGTACAGTATTAAAATTAATGGTTCCTATGTGTTCCAAAAATAAGATTCTTTGTGATATCTTGATGTTTATACAGTCTCAAAGTAATTTTAATTTCCTCAAATGTACACTGGTTAATATTTTCAACAAATAAACCCACCAGTGACTTTACCCCAAAACTTCATAACTATGATCTAGATTAAAATCATGTTATATGTTAGAAATGTTCTGAATCTTGATCTGGATGGTAGTTACAGCTACATAAATAAAAAGTCATTCTGAGCTACAGGTGAACATTTAAGAAGTGTGGACTTTATTTGTCATACCTCAATAAAAATATTTTCAGGGCACCTGGGTGGCTCAGTTAATAAGCATCCAACTCTTGATCTCAGCTCAGGTCATGATCTCACAGTTCCTGAGTTCAACCCCATTTTGGGCTCTGTGTTGACAGTGGAGAGCCTGCTTAGGATCCTCTCTCTCTCCCTCTCTCTGCCCCTCCCCTGCTGATGCTCTCTCTCTCAAAATAAGTAACCTTTAAAAAATATGTATTTTCAAAGTAGACATAAATACACTACTTTAATCACCATTATGAAATCACTGATACAACTGCATTGATAATGAATAAAGAATTGTAGAGCACTACATAGTTCATAGGCAGTTCTGACAGAGGTTTCACTTTTTCCTTGCTTTAATATCAGTTAAGAGAACATAGAAATATTTCTGCTCTATTTTGAAAATAATTTCCAATTTGAATGATCCAGACATTCTCTCATGACTTCTAACCACTCTTCCATCTAACACACACAAAAAACAGTTAAATGGTAAAAATCATGATATTATAAAACCAGAGTAATAATGCTCTTGGGACTCTAGAAATTCACCACTGGGGGGGGGGGGGCAGAAGCATCAAAGCATCAACATAATCATAATTGAAATATTAATGTTAGTAGTAAAGCTTGATTTAGGTGGTGATACAAATTCAACTTTTAAAAACTAAACCAAATGAAAAATACCAAAATGTATACAATCTTCCTGTATTGCATACATTTATACTATATAGCACCCCTACCAACATCATTAATTTTATGTATAATGTATATATATAATGTACATGCAAATATGTAAATACTCAAAATGGAGAAAATGCAACTCATTAAAGCTACTAATTTCTCCAAAGTTTAGCTTCATGATTATTAACAATCCAAGTACTAACACATCTTCAAATAAAATAGGAAAATTGTAGGTCAAAATTTAGTGACAGCTGTAAGTCCATGGTAAAGTTTAACCTAGAACTAATATTGGATCTATCCAACTTGCAACAGTTTTCACTTACTTGACTAAATTATGCCTTGAGGCATTTACAATAAATTTCCCCATGGTATCAAATTTATAAAGCTGTTCTAAATTAAGGTAGCAGTTTAGCAGGGTGATTAAGAGCATGAATTCTGGAGTCAGACTGAGTTCAAGTCCATGCTATACCATTTACTACTAGCTCTGTGACAAACTTTTTGTACTTCCATTTTTTGTGTGTTTTGTTTTTCTACAGAACAGAAATAATAAGCCTGTCTTCCAGAATAGTTCTAAGAGTAAAATAAAATAATGTTTATAAAACATCTACTACAGTACCTAGTTCATATTCAGTACATTTAAAAAGTCAATCATATTCAGGGGCGCCTGGGTGGCTTAGTCGGTTAAGCTCCGCCTTTCGCTTAGGTCATGATCTTGCGGTTCGTGGGTTCGAGCCCCGCGTCGGGCTCTGTGCTGACTGCCAGCTCAGAGCCTGGAGCCTGTTTCAGAGTCTGTCACTCCCTCTCTCTCTGACCCTCCCCTGCTCACGCTGTCTCTCTCTCTCTCTCTCTCTCCTAGAAATAAATAAAACATTAAAAAAAAATTTTTTAAAAGTCAATCATATTCATTAAAAGGAGGATAAATAGAAAATGTGAATCAATGTATTTCTATAAATTTAGTCAAAGGATTTTTGCTTGAGTTTTTTTCTTCTCTCCTTTATCTATTCCTTTTCTATTACTCGAATTTCATCATCATGCTATTCTTGGTAATTTGAAAAATTTCTGAAAAAATATTTTCACTACTTCAAATACAAGCAAGTCTAGCCATGGTGGAAAATAACAATAAAAGATGTTCTGTTGATAACCTAAACAGAACAAATGAAAACAAATACCACTACCTGTCATTTCATAAAACAAAAACCTCCACGGCAAAACAGATATATCTTTTTGGAAGGATCATCATAAAACTCCCAAAAGAATAAGCAAACGTGGACTATCTAGCTTTAGCAAGAATCCCAGCAAATGCTGGAAACTACTTTATAAAAAAGTTAAGCACTAGATAAAAATGATTTTTCAGCTGTCAAAATGATAATTTACAAATACAATCATTCTTTTCTCTGTCTTACACCCAGCTAGCAGCTAACACCAGCTAGTTTGCTCACCTGATCTGAGGATCAGCCCACCTGGGTCCTGCCAAGACAGAGACAGCAGTGTATTCCACAGGATTATAGTCTTGCCACTCAACAAACCACCCCACTTTCTCATTAGGGACCTGGCTGCGTTGGACTTTTGAACCTGGGTATGGAGACGTCCGAGCCTTGTTGTGGGAATTCTCTTTGGCACCATTAGAACTAGACATGATGTTGGAGTAAAGATGAAACCCACAGGATAAAAATGAGTTTCTGCAAAGAAAAAAAAAAAAAAGAAAAATGTTTTACATACATACCAAAATATAAAAAATAAAGAACCTATGAGGCACCTGGATGGCTCAGTTGGTTAAGCATCCAACTTTAGCTCAGGTCATGATCTCATAATTCATGGGTTCGTACCCTATGTCGGAATCTGTGCTGACAGCTCAGAGCCTGGATCCTGCTTCGAATTCTATGTCTCTCTCCCTCTCTCTCTGCCCTTCCCCCACTTGCTCACGGTCTCTCAAAAATTTTTTAAAATAATTAAAAATTAAAATTAAAAAATAAAAAACCTAATTCAAAGACCCCAAAACATATTTCAAAGTATAGAAGTCCAACAGCTGTGGGAAAATTATCTTCAAATATGAATTTTTTTTATTATCGCTAGATCTTAATTGAATCTACTCACTGAATTTCTTTTAGCTGAGAAAAAGGAATAGTTTACTTTTGTTAGCACAAAAGCTGGGAAAGTTTGTTATGAAAATTCAACCATAAAAACAAATGTAAAAGAAAATTGTGTAAGTCTATGTGAGGGAATACATTTTTTAAATAGTTTACAATCTAACACACATGTGAAATGTATGGCAAAAATGGCACAAAACAAGATAATGGAAATATTTATTGCCAGATTCTTACATTGTACATGAAGTAACGTCATATTACTTGGAAAGTCAGTATAATAAATATACAAATTGTAAACTTCAGAATAAAATTTAAAATAACATTAAGAGGCACAGAGCTGAGGGCACCTGGATGGCTCAGTCGGTTAACCATCTGACTACAGCTGAGGTCGTGATCTCATGGTTCACGGGTTCAAGCCCCAGGTCCAGCTCTGTGCTGAACATGGGGAGCCTGGAGCCTGCTTCAGATTCTGTGTCTCCCTCTCTCTCTGCCCCTCTTCTCCTTGTGTTCTCTCTCTCTGTCTCTCTCTAAAAAATTATACACATTAGAAAAAAAAAAAAAAAGGCACAGAGCTAAAGTAAGTAGAAAATATATACAAAAAGAAAAACAAACTAAACATCTACCTCACAGCATACACAAAAATGTTTCATGTCCCCTCCTGCCTAAAAACTTAGATGGCTTCTCATTATTCTTAAAATAAAGATTAAATTTCCTAAAGACCCTAAGTGATGACATCTAAAGTAGAAAAGAAGATTCTGAGAACATGGTGAACTGAGGACAGCTCCCTTCCTCTGCTCTCACAATACCAATTTGCCCTTGGGACAAATGCTTAAGACAAACAACATCGGTTAACATCCTGTGCCTCCTGACACGAAACACTGGAAAGTACACAGTAACCATTCCTGAGGTACTCATCACAAGAATATAAGACCAGAATCTAGTCATGAGGAAATATAGAACAGATCCCAGTCAAAGGACAACTTGTAGTCAACGTCTGTACTCTTTCAACTGGTAACATTATGAAAGAAATAGGAACTCTTCCAGATAGATGCAGACTAAAAAGACATGAAAACAAAATGCAGTCAATCATCTTGGATTGGTTCCTGAACCAAAACAGGAAAAAAAAAAAAAAATCACAGGACCATTAGAAAACTACAGACCAATATCCCTGATGTGTATCGATAAAAATTCAACAGAATAGTAATAAACAGAATTCAACAGCACATTCAAAGGATTATACGCTAGAAGTAAGTGGGATTTATTCCTGGAACACAAGGATCTTTAAATATACAAAAACCAATCAGTGTAATACACGTTAACAGAATGAAGGAAAAAAACACATGATCATCCCAAGTAATGCAGTAAATTACTGCATTTTGATGTGATGGTGAAAGACAGAAAGCTTTTTCTCTAAGATCAGGAACAAGGGACCCCAAATAGCCAAGACAATGTTGAAAAAGAAGATGGAGGTGTCATATTTCCTAATTTCAAAACTTACTACAAAGTTACAGTAATCATAACAGTATCATACAGGCATAGAGACAAAGACTAGTGGGATAGAACACAGAGCTCACACATAAACCCTCACATATACGGTCAAATGATATCCAACAAGGGCACCAAGACATTTAATGGGAAAGGACAGTCTTTTCAACAAATGGTGCTACGAAAATTAGACATCCACATGAAAATGAAGATTATCCCTTACTTTACAACACATGCAAACATAATTCAAAATTGTTCAAAGACCCAAACATAAGACCTAAAACTATAAAACTCTTAGAAGAAAACATACAGGGACACTTTCACGACATTAAATCTGGCAAGGATTTCTTGGATATAACCAAAAGCACAGCTAACAAAGAAAAAGGTAAATTGGACTACATCAAAATTAAGAATTTCTGTGCATTAAGGACTCAATCAATAGAGGGGAAAGGCAAACTATAGACCCTAATGCAGATGATATTCAAAGGATTAATATCTATAATATACAACATTGTTACAAATAGCAAGAAAAGGCTGAACTGGAATAGAAAATTGGGCAAATTATAGGACTAAACAGTTACAGAAGAGCAGATCCAAGTAGCAAAGAAACATTAAAATATGATTATTTTTTAAAATGATTATAATTACTAGCAATTAAAAAATGAAAATGAAAGTAACATTAAATTCTTTTTACCAACTAGACTGACAAACCTTCAAAAAGGTTAACACCACCTCCCAAATATTGCTGGTAGAGATGTGAATTGCTACAGACATTCTCAAAAGCAATCTGGCAACAATGATTAATATATTTATATCCTTCAACACAGTAATTCCATTCCTGGTAATCTATCCCACAAACAACAACAACAACAACAATAAAACAGTTATATGTATAAATGAAGCTTATTTCAGTCCTGTTCATTGGGAAGTAAAAGAAATGCTTAATAATATGGGGATGGTTTAGGATAGAAGAGCCACACAATGGATTAAACAATAAGCAGCTATTAAAAATAATGGCATCAAGTAATTTGTCAGCATTTTCACAAGGTATAGTTGAAAACGAAAAGCAAGATGGAGAAAAGTATGTATAATATGATCCCACTTTTATAAAGCAGTAACAAAAAATAAGTACATATTTAATTAAGAGTATGTAAATAATGTATTGGTTTTCTATTGCTGCATAAAGACTCCCACAAACTCAGCAGCTGAAAACAATGTGAAATTATCTTATAGTTCTACAGGTTAGAAGTCAGACACAGGTCACAATGATTTGGGAAACGGAGGCAGAAAGAAATGACAGATCAAATTAAATTTCCTTTCAATATGAAGCCTACAACTACTTCAGGCAGGCAGAGTGTAACATTTCTCCAGGAACTCCCTACGTGTTAATGTTAATGCTTTGCTAAAGGGAAAAATAACCTTAGCAAGACAATATCTAGGCCTCCAGTATCCTTTCAGTCTTTTTTTTTTTAATTTTTTTTTAATGTTTTTATTTATTTCTAGGAGAGAGAGAGAGAGAGACAACGTGAGCAGGGGAGGGTCAGAGAGAGAGGGAGTCACAGACTGAAACAGGCTCCAGGCTCTGAGCTGGCAGTCAGCACAGAGCCCGACGCGGGGCTCGAACCCACGAACCGCGAGATCATGACCTAAGCAAAAGTCGGACGCTTAACCGACTAAGCCACCCAGGCGCCCCCCTTTCAGTCTTTTTAAGCAGTTGAAAATTTTACATATGGAGCCCTACCATCTAACTGAATTGTTACAAAATTAGTTATTTTTCATGGTTTGGAGTAAAGTAAGAAAAAAATCCAGAGTATTAATGAGATGCCCAACAGGAAAAACAGATTTAGTTCCACTCTATCTCAACCAAGTACCAAAATTTCTTTTCCAAGTATGAGGCTCTTTGTTCAGCAAGGATGTGGTATTCCACAAAACTGCTAACTAACCACTCTGACAAAAGAAACTTATATGCCTAATTGTTTACTTTTCCAAAACAAATTTAATAACTTGTGAAAACAGTAAAAATTCAGACTCTATCGTACCACACTGAGAAGTGATAAGCTGCTACTATATCTGCAGCTTAAACATGATACACCGAAAGGAATTAGAACAAAAATAAATGTAATATATACATATACAGCCTAGGTTCTTTTATTATACAAATGAATTGGTGCAAGAAATATACCTGACCAAACACATGAGAATTCAGTAGCTTATAAAGTTCATTTTACAGGAGTGCCTGGGTGGCTCAGTCAGTTGAGCATCTGACTTCAGCTCAGGTCACGATCTCATGGTTAAGGAGTTCAAGTCCCACGTCAGGCTCTGTGCGGACAGCTCAGAGCCTGGATCCTACTTCAGATTCTGTGTCTCCCTGTCTCTGCCCTCCCCTGCTCATGCTCTGTCTCTCAAAAATAAAGATTAAAAAAATTGTTTTAAATAAAGTTCATTTTACAAAGCAAAAAAAAGATCCTAAAATGGTCAAACTTGAAGAAATACAATATTGATATGGTCCTTTGAAATAAAGCAAATTTACAATACTAATAGCCATGATAATAACTAAATGTATGTAGTGCATGCTACATGCAAGATACTCGTCTTATGCTATAATACATACTCATTTGTCCTCACAACCCTAAGGTTAGGTACTATTATCCTTATTCTAGAAATAACCCTAAGGCCCAGAAACACTACATAAATTTACCAACCTCATACAACTGATAGCAGAATCAGGATCCAATCCCAAAACAAGTTGGCTTCGAATTCCAGGCTCCTAAGATTAGGCTATCCTATCCTGACTTCATTTTTAGTTTATACATTTATAGGTGTTCACAGGAATAAAATATAACTGTTCTCCACATGTCACTGATCCTGTTGGAAAATCTGAAAGCACTCACTACATCTTTATGTTCTATCGCTTTTTTCTAGAAAATAGGCATTTGCAACCAACCATCTAGTCAAATCACAAAAATCAACTGCAAAATTCTGACTTTCCGTATTTGCCCAAATTAAGAGTGGTAAAATTCTCAATGATAAAGGTCTTCTGTCTCTTCCAGAATGCCCTGCAACATAATATACCAACTCTGAACACATACTTGTTGGCTTAACTTTTGGCTTTTTCTTGCAAGCCGGTAAGCAGTCACTGGTTTTAGCCCAGTTCACCTAGGGTTCCCAGAATTATAAAGAATAATTGTCAAGCAATTTCACACTGTTCTAGCAGCATCTATCAAAAATAGCATTCATGGCTTCCAACGAATATAGTTTGGGGGCACCTGGGTGGCTTGGTCAGTGAAGCATCTGACTCTTGATTTCAGCTCAGGTCATGATCTCTTGGTTTATGGGATCGAGCTCCATATGGGGTTCGACGAGGATAGAATGAAGCCTGCTTGGGAGTTTCTCTCTCTTTCTCTCTCTCTCACCCCCCTTTCTCAAAAGTCAGTAATAGTCTTTTTTTTTAAAAAAAAAAAAAAGGTACACAGTTTGTTTGTCTTTAGCTAGAATATTTTCTAATTTTTTTTAATTTTACGTTTTTAATGAGAGGTTGGTTGACCCATGTTACATTATAAAAAGCATATATGTTTATTCCTTCCCTCCCCAAAACCCACTGAAAAGAGATAAAGATGTATAAAAGGTAACAAAATCCACAGCAGGAGAGAGAACAGGACGCCACCACTGAATAAGAAGTTGTTCAGGAAGATATATAGTAAACGGACTCATACTGACCTACAAACCAAAGTAAAACAAATTATATTTGAAAATATACACAAAAGGGTGAGTGAGAGATGCCATTCCTATAAGAGGAGGCCTGAGAGGTTTCAAGCTTGAAATAAGTGGGCCCAAGTGAGCAGTGGGACAGTAACCACGGAAATCAGTCATCCTTCTTCCCCAAATAACAAGTTAGCAACAGATTATGATTGCCCCTGGGATAAGCCAAAAGCTAAAATTAAAGACTAGGACCTCTATTGTGAATACTGATGTTAGAGAATGTAGCAGCAATTCAGACTTAATAGGACTACAGTTCACACTAGGAAATAAAGTCAAGGCAGCTATGCTCAGCAGAGAATTTGCTAATCTGGAAAAAACGGGAAAGGAGAGGATTCCCAGCCTGTCCACCTGCTACCTGCTCACACACCTTCAACTGAAACCTTCCAGTCTACATGCCCTGGTACATGACACCAATATCTATCAGTCATCCTGTTTAGAGAAAATAGTATCTATTACCTACGTTAATCAAAATATAAATGAATAACCAGTGTCCACCAGATGTTTGAGAAAAAACAGAAGGCAAAAGGATTAAAAAGTAACAGAACCATGGCCTATAAACAGATAATTCAAGAAATAGTAGATAAGCTTTTATTTTAATGACTGTTTTTACAGATTCAAGAACTTTTATATCCATAAAATGAGAAAAGGCTGCTATTAAAAAAAGCAATTACAGAAAAAAAAAAAAGTTGCCAAAACATACCAATTCAATAGAAGGGATGACTAACAATGCACAGGACTGGAATCTGAATTAGTAATCTGGAAGATAACTTTGAGTAAAATCTCTAAGCACACAGTACAAAAAGATGAATGGAAAGTGAGAGAAAAAGAGAAGGAAGAGGTTCAATCCAGAAAATCCAACAGCTGTCACAGGAGTTCCAGATAAAAAAGGGACAGGATAAAAATGGGGCAGGGAGGGAATAGAAGGGAATTTCTTTGTGCCCAAAGGAAACATGACAGGCCAAACAGAATTTAAAAAAAAACCGCTACTAGGGACAAACTCATAAAACTCGTTAATTACCATATGCCTAGTATAATACTTAGGACACTGTGTTTACCGAATATTGAAATTAAGGGGGGGGGGGGAAACAAGATAAACGTAGGAAGCAGAGGGAGATACTATAAATCTCTTAACTTTATCCAGATTTGACAAAACAAGAAAAACAGGTAAATGATAAAGATACCTACACTTGAATTAAGAGGTGGAGGGGAGGAATGACAACTTATACTTTTCATTTTACACCATTTCTACTGTTCACATCTTTAAACTATATGGTGTATTAATTTTAATAATATTTTAAATATTAACACCCCCCCCCCAAAAAAAAGTGGCACGGGACAACACGACATACAAACTAGCGCTATTTAAACTCTCGGGAGGACAATAACGTTGGTGCCTTAGGAAACGTAGGCAAAACGGCCAAGTCTCAATATCAGAGACCAAAAAGATCACTACCACTAGTTTTACTCAAGAGGCAGATAAACATTTTGGAGCCTTTTTGAAAACGTAAATACAGCTATAAAAAGAAAACCCTGGACGCAAACAGGGAATCCGCAGGACTGGGCGCTGGTTCCCACCAAACGCAAGGGCTCAGAAGTAACCAGCAGCACTAGGAGGGGGAATACCTGCACGCCGGAAGGCTGCAACAGCCCGAGGACTTGACAGTCACAGAGGCCAAGGCCACAGAGAGAGACACCGTGGCTAAAGTCTTTCCCAGGATACGTTCGGCCATCAGCGCCCCCGCGGGCGGCTTCACGGAGTGAGTTCACGCTTAGCTAGGGCCACAACCTCCGGCCGCCCCACAGCCCCAGGTATCTAGTGGGCACTAGGACCGGGCCGTCCTCCCGTTCCCGGGAAGGAGTATCTAGGTCTTTCTCAGAAATACACAAAGTCAAGAGCCGTCCCAAAATAATCCCCCACTTCCAACAGTGAGACGCAGAGAACCAAATTAACAATGAACGCGGTCACTCCCAGCACGCGCTGCTGCGGAACTGCGACGCGGACCCTGCGACGTCCCAGGTGAGTAACAGCATTTTACGACTTCGCCGTAAAGCAACAACAGTGTCGGCCTCGCGGCGCTCAGTCTTCGACCTCTCAATGTGCGCAGGCGTGCTAGGGGCTAGGCGGAGGGAGATGTAGGCGGAAAGCTCAAGAAAAAGAAAAGAAAGACGATGGAAGCTGGAAGGGGCGGGGGAATGGGAAAAAGAAAAACAGGGATTGAAAGTTATTTCGGTTTTTATTTACCGGCTAGAAGGAGTTAAAAGCAGCTCTTGTAGTGAACCACAAGGGACCTAGTCGTATCTGAATAATAAGTAGTTGCAGGAAAAGTGGGTAGTTAAGAGATTCGCAATCCACTTGAGGCTCTTCTCTTCCACTTTTACCAAGTTGTTGACTGCAAATGCTAAATTTGACAAGGCTATGCGGATGTGGCCTTGGCAGACCCGTGGAGGAGTAAACCAGCTGTGAGCTGAGCACGCAGCTTGGAGCAGTAATAGAAGTAATAGAAGTAATAGCAGTAATAGAAGGCAACACCCGGGAAAGACAAGGGGCAACAGTCAAAATGCCTGGCTGAAAATTGGGCATTCAGATTGCCCAAAACAGTTTGTAACCTGGCTTTCATCTTTTATATTCATTATCTTATTAATGTGGCAAATGGTCAACTTTTAAGTACATAACATACTGTCTCAATGGTGTGGCATAGACAGAAACATAAAACCAGATTAATCAGACTTTGACAAGTATCATTCTGAAGACTACAGAATGCAGAACTCTTGGCATATAACAGCTCCAACATAACCTCTAAGAGACTTGGCGAAACTAGTATGGCTTCTAGCAGTTTAAGGCTTTGTCCCTAGAGTAATCCCAGACCACCCTTACCCGGCCCCCCCACCCCCCCTTTAGGTGCCTGCCTGGAAAAGCTAAGGAGAATTGACTGTTCCAGGAAAAACCTTGCAATAGGCAGACAGTACCTAGAAACCTCTCTTAGAGAAGTTTCTTTAGAAAACTTGCAATTACAAATGTTTTTTCTGCCCTTTGTGATATAAATCTACCACCCAAAACTGTTTCCTCAAGGACCTGAGAGCGCCTCACTTTGAAATGCAGTCGTTCAGGGAGATAACTATGTTAGCTGCCAGCCATTCCTTGTGAAAGGATAAAGACCTAACTTTAGTGGGCATCTGTCTCCAGCTTGCACTGCTGCCTCTTAAAGATAGAAGTTTTTTCATCTCTGATAAGCACCAGTTAAACCCAGATGGCCTACTCCTCACATGAATCATCAACTCAGCCCCTTAACACCTGTCAGTGTCTTTCCCTTAGCGCACTCCAGCCTTCTGTTTCAGGGAAGTTGAGTTCATTCATGCAATAGTATTACTGAATAAAATGTGTCCTTATTGCTTTAACTAGTATCTAGGTTTGTTCATTTTTTGGCAGTTCTTCTAGGTAGTAAAGTACTATTAATATTAAAATGTGTTTGCTTTTTTTTTAAATAAATATCAGGACGTGTCTTCCTCTGGCCAGATAAACTTTGCCCTCCTTGCCATTGACAACCATTAACCTTTGCTTAAACTGGAAATGTAAATAGTCAAGCTCTGTTTAAAAAGTTTAGCTCCTCTGGAATGTGCTGACAAATTAGTTACTAGGAAGAAGAAAAGGCAGTGAGCTGCAAAACATCTGACCAGGAACAAGAGACAGGAAGGCATTCTCATAGAAAGTTCTCGGAGCTCTAGTTTTCGAACTCCACATTCCATCTTTTTTTTTAATGTTTATTTATTTTTGAGGAAGAGGCAGAGAGACAGGGAGAGAGAGGATCCCAAGCAGACTCCACACTAAGCATGGAATTGAATGCAAGGCTCGATCTCAGAACTGTGAGATCATGACCTGAGCCAAAATCAAGAGTCAGAAGCTTTACCAACTAAGCTACCTAATGAATGTTTTGAAATAGGAAAGTGGTGTATGTGATTACTGATATTGAGTTTAGGCATGCTAAAAATAAGAGTGATTACTAATTCCAACTGTGGGGCACCTGGGTGGCTCAGTCAGTTAAGTGCCTGACTCTTGATCTTGGCTCAGGTGATAATCTCATGGTTCGAGCCCCTCATTGGGTTCTGTGTTGACAGCGTGGAGCCTGCTAAAGATTGTCCCTCCCTCTCTCTCTGCCCCTTCCTCACTCATGTTCGGTCTCTCTCTCTCTCTCTCTCTCAAAGTAAACAAATAAGCTTAAAACTTTTAAAAAAATAATAATTCCAATTGTTTCCCTCTTTTTCTATTCATTTCTTGATATAGCAAATATTTAGAGATTACTTACTATTTACCAAGCACTGCCCTAGGTTCCAGGAATAAAGTTGTAAACAAAGTGGTCAAGGTCCTGCTCTCATGAAACTTACTTTCTAGGGGAGATAAATCAATGCTAAATAACTAAACAAACTAGGAATTCATATTATGAAGGAAGTAGACAATTTAGTGCATAAAAGAATAATTGAAGCTGGAGTAACTACTTTATATTACAGGAGAAGGGTGTCAGCAAAGACTTTTTGGAGGAAGTCACATTCGAGAGATACCTAAAGACATGAAGCTGCCAGCCACTGGAAAAGCTGAGGAAAGAGCATTCTAGGCAGAGAGGACTGCAAGTGCAACATCTCTAAGGTAGGAAAGAGATTGGCTATAATCAAGGAACAGAAAGGTCAATGTGCTAACGCATAATAATAAACTGGCAAAGTATAATCAGCAACGAAGCCAGACAAGGTCAATATGCTGGACATAGCTCTCTGCTTCCCAGTACCCATTTATTCATTCTCCCTTCTTCCATGTCATATGTAGAACTGTATCCAGCTAAACACTTACCTCCCTGTGTTTCCTGCAGCTAAAGAAGCCAAAGGACCCTTCCAAGCCAATGAGATGAATATGGTAGCCTACTGTGTGGGTTTTCTAGAAAGGCCATTATGTTCCTGGCAAAAGAGACTGGCTGATTTAGCAGAAACTATTAACCATTCACAATTACCCCTTCCTCCTTTATTCCTGCTTGAAGGGAGGGCACATTTCCTAGAGGAGGAACAGCCATCTTGAAATCCTATTGACAAAAGTCACACACGGATGGCAACGTTGGGTATAAGAAGGTGACTTGAGCTTTTTATGACTTCCTTAAGTAGTTGCACCAGTCCTGCACAGTCTGGTTCTGGACTAATAAGGATAATAAACCCCTATTTGACTAAGCTATGATAGTTGGGTTTATTTTATGTAAAAATCTTGACACAAGACCTGAATCATATAAGGCCTAATGGTCTGTGGTAAGGAATTAGGAGTTTATCCCAAGTGCAATGGAAAGCCATTAATACTGTACCAAACTTTATTCCTCACAACATTGAGAAGTAGCTATTATAAAAGTTGGAATGGGACAAACTGTAATATAGGGGTAGGGGTTGGAGTGGAAAGTTAAGTTACTAGACTCTTAATATTTACCTTCACTGCTATTATTTCTCCTTTTCCATAATCCCCTGGGTCAGAAAAAGCTCACTTTCCTCTTTTTCTTTGCTTATGGCAAAGATTTTCTTCATATCATTTGTGTTCTTTCAGTCAGCAGAAACTTCACACCCACCAGTCCTGTCTCTTAGTAAGCTAATGCATGCTGAAGGAAATTTAAACAAAGAATTTAAATGACTTGTTCAAAATCACACAACTAGAAAGTGACAGAGCTAGAATTCCAACCTAACTTCAGAGTGTTTGCTTTAACATTATGCTGCCTCAGATTTCATAAAGGCCAGGGTGAACAGTTTTGAGATGACAGTGGTTTCTTCTGATTCAGTCTGTCCCAGTTATTCTAATAAGAGCCTTCCGCTAAGGAAGGCCACTTTAGTCACAAAAGTGGAAATACTATCTATTGACTTTTACCTTTCAGAATCAACCAGTAGACCAAGCACAGAAAATGTTACAGTTGCAAAAAAGACAGTAAACATGATCAGTCCTGAGAATATTAAAGTAAATCAGATATTAGAAGTTGGGAGGTAGAAATAGAATGGACTTCTGAGGAAAAGAATAAGGCTTACCCTCTCTTACAAAATGGGAAACCAAAAGTTTCATCATACAGTGGCATAAATAAGACATAAAAAGTGTAAAAGTTTTAAATATAACCAAACAAGAGTAATAAGGATATTAACATAATTTATATTGGGAATATACAAGGAGAAGGGTGATTGGGGAGGAATAAGTGAGCTACATCCTCAGCTGTCATAGAAGAAAATCGATTAATAATGTCTACTGTTGGGACACCTGGGTGGCTTAGTTGATTGAGCGTCTGACTTCAGCTCAGGTCGTGATCTCATGGTTTGTGAGTTTGAGACCCACCTCAGGCTCTGTGCTGACAGCTCAGAGCCTGGAGCCTCTTTCAGATCCTATGTCTCCCTCTCTCTCTGTTCCTCCCCCGCTCAAGCTCTGTCTCTCTCTGTCTCCCAAAAATAAATAAATATTTTTAAAAAAAATTTAATGTCTACTATTGATTAACCAAGAAAAGACACTGTAAGCCTTTATTAGAGGCATGGAATCAATTCTGCAAGAGACTGTTAAATGGCTTAAAAATGGTTCATGTGAAGAGTTAGACAGGGTGGGACTCAGAACTGTGCCTTTCTATTATCCACCCCCATTGAACCGTTTTTAAACAAGATATATTCATTACTTTGAATTCATAGATTCATTACTTTTTTTAAAAAAATATGCTTGGACAAGCTCATCTCTACTACCCTCTAGCTCTAAAATTCAGACTTCAGAGCCAAGTATCAAGGCTTCTATCCCAGAATGCCTGAAAAACTATTGGAAGTACTTCCTTTAGCACAATCTGGCAATCATTTCTGAATGTTCTTCCTCAGTGTTCTTTAGAATAACAGGGAAAAAGAAAAGTGACTGTTCTTCATTGGCCTATGTAATTGATAAGTAGAATGCCCTTTCCTTCTGAATACACTAGCATTCTACAGAACCAGCCTTGCAAACATAAACTTCTTACTGATGGCTGGTTAAGATA